AGTAACTTACCCAGGGTCATACATATAGCTAGTGTCTGAAGCCATATTTGAACTCAGGTCTTCCTTACTCCAGGCCTGGCACTTTATCCACTGTACCACCTAACTGCCTCTTTTTGTTTTACTTCACTGGAGGCATAATAAATGCTGTTCCACACCATTTCATGTATGAATATTTGTTTCAAATGTATTTCTTGTAAATAACATATTTATTCCAGTTTACTACTCTTCTTCATTTTATGGGTGAGTTCATCCTATTTATGTTTATGATTACTGTGGTAAGTTGTAGATCATAACCATCATTACCTCTCTTTATTAATAATTTGGAACATCAAATTATCTGAATCTTTCAAATGGTTTGAGGCACTTATTTTCAGACTCACTTTTTCTAAAATACCAACATCCTAGATTATAAATGCATTCAATACTATTTTCTTGTTATTTAATTATTACAGTTGCAATTATTACAGCATTCTTTTCTTTAGTTTTCATTGCTAATTTACAATATTTCAATTCCATTATGTGTTAAACAAGTATTTATGGACTATCCTGCATATTTATTTGTCATTTATAAGCCTGTTTCTCTGGGGAAAAAAAAATTGGAAAATAAATTTGTTGTAATTCACAGAGATAAGCTTGAAAAATGTAAATTATATGTAACTCACAAAAAAGGTAATATTTTATGACATAATGCTTGAATATATTCCTTTGTCTCTCCATTCTTAGAGGCACCACCACAGGGCAGGCCCTCATTACCTCTTGCCTGGATTATTGTAACAGCCTATTGCCCAAGTCTCTCCAGTCTCTTTCCACTTCAATCCATCAGCTGCCAAAGTGACTCCTGAAGATCATCTAAACCATGGAGGGAGTTAAGTGCTCACACCAACAAAATCACAGACTCTTGAAGTAGGGAAAAAGTTTTATATATACAAATATATACTAGCAATATACAGTAATATACATAATACAAATAATATATTTATATACTTATATTTATATAAAATATATTTATTATATCATATATTATTTACATAATATATTTATGATATACATTTATATGATAAATAAATATATTATATATTATTATTATGTAATATCATAGATTATATAATTATATATTATATAATAAATGATTTATATACAATTATATTTATATATTATTTATATGTAAATATATAATTTATATAAATAGATATTATATTATTTATATAATATATACTTAAATATTTAAATATTAAATATATACTTGAATATATATTTATATATACTAGCAATATACATTTTTATATATATATATATATATAGTGCTGTAAAGCTTTTAGATGTTTAATTAAGGACTAGATGGTAACAACATGAGATTTTCTCCCCTAGGAACCCAAAAGCCTTATTTAATTTTCATTTTAATATTCATTTTTATGTCACATACTTCACAATAAACGTTTCCCTGTTCCTTCTTCCAGAGAGCCATAACTTTGTAATATAGACAAAAAAACCCCAAACTAATCAAAACTGACCAACACATCAACCAAGACTGGTATTTTATATATTATTCCATATCCATAGTCTTTTACCTCTGTAAAGAAAAAGAAGGGATGCATTTTCAAATCTTTTCTTTGGGATCTAATTTGGTTACAGTAGTTGCAGTTTAGTTTAGCATTTAGTTTCAATTGTTTTGTTATTGTTGATCTTTACATTTATATTGTTGTAGTCATTGTGCAGATTGGTTTCCTGCTTCTGCCTACTTCCCTTTGAATCAGTTTATAAGTTTTCCCATGTTCCTCTGCATGGATCACATACTTTTTTTTACAATGAAGTAATAATATATACCACTAAGTACTTGTTAAGCCATCTCCCAATTGTTGGACATCTGCTCTGTTTCTAGTTCTTGGCTGCTACAAAAAGTGCTACTATAAATATTTTAGTGTATATAGACAGTATCTTCCTTTTTCATAATTTACCTCCCAAACCTCCCTTTAAACAGTAAACCCTCTAAATTGCTCAAAATTGTGAGTTGCCTTTAAAAAAAACAACACCTCTTCATAGGCTTATACAGGGCAACTCAAAAGTCTTAGTGCATTTAAAACCTTAATAGTTTAGGTTTTATACTGTATACCACCCAAAGAATTGGAGGTTCTTCTTTTATAACTAAAAAAAAGGATTCCCTTTACGAAACTTGCTTAGGAGCCTGAGGGCCCAGACTTGAACCACCAAGCTAAACTCTTTTCCACAGTCCTGCTTAGTTCCAACTTCTGTTCTCACTGCCCTCTCTCATCTGAGTAGGGAGAGGCATTAAGGAGTCTACTTTTCCTTGAGGCTTTCAGGCCAGTACTGTCATTTCTATCCTTTCTTGCACATCAATATCAGGACTCCTCAGTTGGGGAATGCTGACCTGAATCAAAGGCACTTAAACCTGAAATTTAGACCATTACAGCAGCAGCATCCAAGCCTTACAGGTATGGCTGAGTTGAGAGGATGCCTCAGTGAAACTCTGACATGTCAGTGGAAAAGCACATCATCTGTTATGTATGGTAAGCAACTCAGTCTGGCTGTAGCACAGAGAAAGAGAGGGAGGGAGGGAGAAAAGGAGAAAGAGAGAGAGACAGAGAGACAGAGACAGAGAGAGACACGCAGAGAGAATATATAGAACATTTATGAAACACTTATTATATTCAAGATAGGAAGCTAAGCACTGAAGATACAAATATAAGCAAATAAAAGCAAGACAGTCCCTGCCTTCAAGGTACTCAATTTCTAATGGAGGAAGACAACACATGTAGGGGAGTGGTAACCAGAGAAGGGAGTTTTGCTCTGTGGAACCACAGAGATAGAACTGATTTGATTTACTGTGCCTAGAGCAAGAGGTGGAAAGGGGGTAAGAACATGGAGGCAGGGCATATGGCAAGGTAGGAATAGCTGGATGGAATGTGAAGCATGGTCTGAGGCAATCAGATATGATGGGCCAGCTACATTTTCACTTTTACCAATCAAGGTAGCTTAGTCCCAGGGGTAAGAGTTTCAAAATCAAGTGGGTCAAGTCCTCCAGGAATATGGGACATGGTTTCTGGAACAGTGCTTAGAAAATTGTTAGGGAGCTATTCCAATATTCCAACAGTCGATGATAGTGAGGGCCTATACTAGTGGTAATAGGAAGAACAGGAATGTATAACACCTTTACGGTGAGGAATCAGAGACCTAACTAATCTATGAACTGGGTAATCAGTCCATAAAAAATGTATTTTTACATGGACTAATTAGTATCTCATTTTGGTGCATCAATTGCAAAGTAGTGAAGTCTAACCAGCAGGGGGAGTTCAGAACACATATCCTGACTAAAGCAACCAGCCCTGTTGGCTGTAGAGGACCAAGTCAAAAAGCCTTGATGCTCTTTATGAACGATCACCTTAAATCAGGGAGTCTCAAATTCTATTGTACTGATGGGCCAAGCTTCTTATGAAAAATAGTAGGCTAAATTAATATTATGTCCCTTTTCCCTCTTCCCCAGTATTTTCCAGACCCAACCTTGTCCATATCTTTATGTGCTGGGATTTTTATGTGATATAATTTGAGGAATGCAAAGGTCTATCCTTCAATGTACTCATGATATCTGAGATGTCACTATTCATGACTTTGGGTTTAAATGTAATCCAATGAGATAATGTAAAGGGCTTTGAAAACCTTGATGCTACACATACATATCAATTATTTATATGGAATTGATTCAATCAGATCCTAACCAAATAACATCTCAGTAAGCAGTTTGGTATGGAGGAGGGTTATGGAAACACAGTATGTGTGTGTATATATATATATATATATATGTATATATGTATAGAGGTGTCACAGGGGATGGAAATGGTATAAAGCAGAGGTAGGAACTCTCCAAAGATTTAACTTCTTCAGTTTTGTCTAGGGTTGGTCCTGCTTATTTTTCTCTTCTGTTGGTCTCTTGCCCCATCACCTTTTGCTTCTTTTGTGCCCACCTATGCTTCTCTTTTCCACTCCTGACCCCAACATATATTCCACTGTAGAATATTCCTTCACCCTTCTGCTCTCTCAGTTGTAACCTTCCCCAGCAATTTCACATGCAATCTTCTCTTCTCCCTTAATAAGCTACTCTGTCTGGTCTCAGCTGTCTTTTGGGGTAACTGCGCTCTCCACAGAATATTGTTCCTTCTCTCTTATACTACAGAACAAGTAAATACAGACTAGGACTGCACAACAAGGAGCTCACACAACTTGGTAGTCATGAATGCCAGAGGACAAGGGGTACAGCTACTGCCATCATCCCTAGGATTTTACTTAGTACTTTCTCCTTTCCCTGCCTTTAGATACCCCTTCTCTTCTCTTTCCTTCCACTACAACCCTTAGGTTTCCTTTGGAAACCCGTAGCCCAATTTCAGTTTCCTACTATATTACTTGAACCCTAGTCAGCTTTTTTCTCACACTGCGGTAGGTCAGTAAGGTGACTGGCTCCCTATCCATCCTTCATTAGTGACAGAGGGTCAGCCAGTCTATCTCTTCTTTTGGTGTTGACTTTGGAGCTCTCAGGCAAGATTCTAGTGGACAATACAGGAACATACCTTTAACCACTGTAACATTTAAGAGAGGTAGCTCAAACAGTCACATTTATTCTAAGAGGGCAAGTAATGTTCGTATATAGTGTTTAACATCTGAAGAATGGAAGAATCATTACCAAATCCCCATGGGGACTTATTTCCCTTTTCTTATTTCCATTCCTCTGCCAAACTTAAAAGCCTTACTACTACTATTTCCTCACAAGCTTAACGTTCCTTAGCTTTCTGAAACCTGGCCTCTACCTCCACCACAACTGAAAATGTATTCTTAATGGTCACCAATGTCATATTTACCCAAATCATACAGGTACATTTGAATTTAATCACTTAACAGCTAAATGCTGGACATAATTCACAAATCTCTCCTGGGATATTTGTTCCCTAAAATATTAATTCTTCAAGATGACAGATTTCACAAATTTCATAGTGTCAATTTAATGCAATAATAAATTTAGTTTATTCCACTGATAATTCCACCCATAATTTAAACTAATATAAAACACTCATTATAAAGACACTCCAAAAACAGAGCATAAAGTATCAAAATATTCTGCAACAAATGAAGAATGGACACACTCAGTTTTGTTTTCTTTTAGATTCATTTCTTCAGCATGCCAGTCTGTAAAGTTTTTTGCAGCCTAGTTATGTTGGCATCCAATGCTGCAAGGCCATTTCTGAAGTCCTGTTCATCATGTGAAGTGAATGAAGAAAGGGAAGACAAACTCCAGTCAGACATTCTTGACATTAAATCAGAATTTAAAAAGCTATAGTCACAGAGAGTACTGTTTTTCAACAGAGAAGTGGCAGTTTGACATTCCAAGGCATTATGATGACCCATAGACTTATCCACAAAGTCAGCAGGTATCTTACTGATTACCTCCTTTATTTTCATTAGGAGCTGTTCATCTTCTACATTAACTGCCCTTATCTTTTCAGATACAACTTCTGTTTCACTCTTCAGAGAAGAAGTATTAGGGAACTTTTCAAAACTAGCCTTTGCATCTTCTGAGGGTGCAAATAAAGAGATGGGCTTAAGCAGCTCATTTTGTTTTTCAGAACCCAAAATTCCACTGTTGCCAGATAGTTTGGAATTAGAGATGTTATTCTGTGGCAATGGACTTCTTCTTTCAGGAGTGGATTTCTTTTTAGAGGAGCTTACAGCAAATGGGAGGTAAATTGTCTCATCATTCAATCCGGATACATCATCTATTAAGGTGTCCGCCTCACTCCCTACTTCTGAAAGTACCTGTGAATGATATGGTACAGTCCCAAGGTCTAATTCATTAGCTGAACCTGGAGATTTGTGTTTACAGACTTCAGGGTTTAGGAAATTTTCGTAAGGCACAACTGGCACTCTCCCTTTTCGATCTTCTTTTAAAAATGGTGATTCTGTGTGAGTATAAATTTGATTGTTTTCTAACTTTTTAAGGTGACTCATGGAAAACTGAGGTGGAGATTTTTTATGCTGTAGGTGTTTTTCATGAATGTCTAGAAGGGATCTGGTAAGCATGTTCTCAGGCTTACAGAGACTGTTGGTCACACTGAGGTTTGTGAGGAGTTGTGTCATGTTGTTCTGCAAAGTTCTGTTGGGAGAAATTAGGTATATTAGTTATTTTTCCTGGCCAATGTATATTTTTCCTTTGGCAACAGCTCACTTCTGTTTTGAATAAAATGTCACAGATGGCTTAGGTTTAATCTGGACTGCATGGAATAATTTACCCCAGATAGTTTAACCACCTGCACAGGTTAAAAGTATAAAGGAAAACACTGAATTTCTAGAATGTTTTTGGCTTTGCAGGGGAAAGTAAATGACTATGACAACAGAACTTCAACTGTAATATTTTCATGTAAAAAGAGATTCAGAAAATAATCTCTTGTAAAACATGAATTCACACACACACACACACACACACACACACACATACACATGCGTGCATGTATGTATACGTAGAGCTGGAAGGACCCTTAGAAGTCATCTTGTTCAACCTCCTTTTATGGATGAGAAAACAAGCCCAGAGAAATGAACTGATTTGCCCAAGGTCACACAGGTGCTAAGTGGTAGAAATGGGATCTGAATTCAGGTCCTGTACCTGCAGTGCAGTGCCTGGCTTGTAATTACATACTTGGTTAAAATACAGGAAGTGGGAAGCTAGATGACAACTTGTCAGATATGAGACGGAATTCATAATTCAGGTGGGGGTTGGGCTAGAAGGCACTCTAGGTTTCATTTCTAAGATACTATTTTTTAAAATTTTTTCATGGTACCTCAAACAAAATGCAAGTTATTTTCTTCCACTAGAAGTATATATTCAAAATATATTACCCTCTAGTGGTTATTATCAGAACAACATGGCTAAGGCTTATGTACAGGTGAATCTGGTTTTCCATAAAAGTTTTCTGTAAATCAACTTTATGTAAATTCAAACATTTTCTACTGGTCTACGTTATAATTTCAAAAGTGCTTTTTCTTTATTTCTGATTAATTTTCATGTAAGTAGCAGCAATTTTTGTTGATCCCCTAACCCCAACTAGCTTAAAAAGTTATAAAAATGTAAATAAATTAGAGGAGCTTATCTTTAAAGAACTTTCTAACTAACAAGGTTGGGAGTTCTGTACTGCTATGTTAGATTTTCTTAAAACAGGGAACACCTATTATATATTTCCTACTAGTCATCAAGCACTGGGAAATTACACTTTTACAAATTTGAGAGTCAGGAAGAGAACAGGGCACAATCCTATCATCAAAAATAATTTGTGGAAATGTAATTTAATGGATATCAGTAAAGCTTACATGTAAAGTACTAATGCTTACTCTGCAAATTAAAAGTCAAAAAACTACATATTCAAAAAGAATGTCCCTAAATAATTCCAATAAAGACATCATTCATATTTTGATCATACAGCAAAAGCTACAGATTTCTAAATTTAAACAACAAGAGGATGGTGGTCTGGGGAAAAAAAAGCTATCTATTTCCATAATAAGCCAATCGATATTTTCCCCTGAGGCTACTTATTAAAAGTATTTCCATTTAAATATGAACTACCAGGTGCAGTATTCAAGTGCTTAGAAGAACACTTTCTATTACTTACACTCCATTTCTTACCCCTTTTTGCATAATTTTAAACCACGGTTACACGAAAATCTAAAAAGAGTGATCATGATAGCTATAATCATTTAAAAGTTTATGTAGCATGGGGGTGAATGAAATAAGTAAAAGCTTGAGACATTTGCCAGCCCTCACATATTAGTTTCTGATCACTGCTGACAAAAATGGGAAAGATATTCCAAAAACCTGTATGGAGTTACTCTCTATAGATCAGTAAAAACAGAACACTTGTGTCTACTTGGGATCAGTTCTGACCATGAAACTGAGCAGGGGGCTTGAACACTTATTTTATTTGACATGCTAATTGCTATTGTTCCACCCATTTTCAGTGCCTCTTAGTTTCTAAGAAAAACTGAAAAACAAAACAAAACAAGCAAAACAATTCTGACCACCAGTGTTTAAAAAAACAAAACAAAACTAGGGGCCAGTTTCAGGATACTAACTTAAAAAAAGAAAACTATTTGAAGATTCAAGCCTGTTACCAAAATACCATGAAGTCACTGATACTGTTGAGATTAACATGAGCTTAAGCCCAGTATGCCTAAACCCAGACTCAAAAACAAAAAAAACCTCAGATCCAAAATAATGTTAAAAACTGTGTGTACAGTAACCTGCAATTGTTTTTAGAGTTGCACCAAATCCTATGTATACCTGTGCCTAAGCATATCTGCTAGTCTCCTTGAGTCATTAGAAGGTCAATTAACTAAATTAAGATGGGTTAACTGAAGTCGTGATGCAGATGTCACGAAAAGCAAAATGCAAAAGGCTACTAAATACTAGGGAAGATGACTGAGGTAAACTCTGGAATCTCCTTTTGAGGAGGTCTTAAAAAAAAATCCTACAACAATGCTCCTCTCATTGAGTGTTTTAAGTCCTAAAGGCTGGCTACAGCTGGGGATAGAGTGAAAAAGAGAGGAATGTATTTTTATGTGGATTATTTAGTATCCCATTTGGTGCACACATACAAAGTACACAAATAAAGAGTGCCAAGGTACTTCTTGCCAAAAGGAAGGTCACTACGTGGGAATTAAAAACAAGGTGGTTGTTACTAGTAACTATTACTATTTACCATTATAGGAAAGGAGATCTCTCAGGAATGAGCAGGCACAGAGGCTGATTCAGAAAGAGTTCCTCAACAGCAGGTCAAGGAGATCTCACCTCCTTTTCTTGATGACAATAAAAAAGTAGAGGGCAGATGATATCAGAAATAGCATTGAGGGGGCAGCTAGCTAGGTGGCGAAGTGGATAGAGCACCAGTCTTGGAGTCAGGACGACCTGAGCTCAAATCTGGCCTCAGATACTTGACACTTCCTAGCCATGTGACTCTAGGCAAGTAAGTCACTTAACCCCGACTACCTCACCAAAAAGCAAAAGACTAAAACAAAACAAAAAAACCACCCTGAGCAGTGGAAGGGGAAGAAAATAAAAACACTGAATTGAATGACAAAAGGATGCTGGGGATAGTTAAAGATATGCTGCAGGTGTTAGGGTTTGAGATTCTTTTTTTTAAACTCTTGACTTTTGATAAGATAGTCAGACATGACAACTACCATATTATTAGAATGAGAGTGAAGATTACCTGGTTAGTTCTTTTAGCCGGATAATTTCAGCTTCACGCTGATGTAATGTTACATCCAAGATCTTATTTTCCTTTCTAGATGTTTCTAGTTTAAACTGGTAGGTTTTCACATTGGCCAAGGCTTCCTCCAATTCTAAAACATAAAAGAGTTTTAATTTTCATTTTTAACAGAAATATGATAATTTACTACAGGTCAAATACATACCAATTTTAATCTTTGCAGTCTCCATCTCAAAATGCTTCTTATTTTCAAATATTTTTTTGTCTTTTTCTTGAAATATCTTGACATATTTCTTGTACTCTTCTTTCTGGCTTTCAATCACTTTTAAGAGCTTGTCATTCTTACTCTTCAGTAACTTCTGATTCCTTAATGACTCCTTCAGCTGGGTCTGCAGGGACATGTTGAGTGACTGCGTAGAAATTACTGTTAGGACAAAGAGTCCAAAATGTGTTTTTAAAGCTTAAAGTATGCATGCACATAGGTAGAGATTCAAAAGGAAAGTAAATAAAATCTAAAATTTTCATCATTACGACTTTATGTTCTGTGTAAATTCTGCATATAATGAAAAACATTGAACAAGTCAGGTTTTTCTATCACCAGCGAATATTTCACACATTTTAAAGTGATAGTTTTATTTTCTTAACCTAAAAATAATATATTCCAAGTATGACCAATTTGACCCCACATATGGGGACTAGAATTCACTACTGTTATGGATTGTCAAAATTATAATAAAACTTTAAAAAGTTTAGGGTGTGTTTTTGGTTAAAGGGAACTCCTATGTCCTTATACCACTTTAGGTCTTTTAAAGTAGATAATGTTACTTGAAAAAACCTCTCCACTGATGCCTTTTTTAATACCAAATTCAATTCTGGAAATACCCCCCACACACACACCAACTTGCCCACCTTCCCTCATAATAAAATTTCAAACAAAAACAAACCCCAAAACTTGGTAAATCAACACCAACCAGGTCCAACACTATTATTGTGTTTGTGAATATTATTCTCCTGGTTCTGCTTACTTCTTTCTATATCAGTTCATATGAGTCTTCCCATGTTACTCTGAATTTCTCATTTTTTTAATCACATAAAAATATTTCAGTATATTCATGTATCATAATTTGTTTAGCTATTCATCAAACAACAGGTATTTCCTGTTTCTAGTCATTATCAAAAAAATATATAATTTTTAAAAAGGATTCCTTGCAAAAATGGAATAATGAAAAAAGTTATACTGAAGACCTGTTTCACAGCCATTTCTATATATACTCTCATATTATCCTCTTCTCCAATGATCCCTTTCTTGTAACAAAGAAAAACAGTTAAGTAAAAGCAACTGATAACAGTGACCTTATGACAGCAAAGGTGACATTTCATAGACATTGCACTCCTTACCCCCTTTACCAAAAAGAGGGAGATACATTTCTTTTACAATTTGCTTTACTACAAGCTTGACAAACTTCAATAAACATGAATATTTCCATATACAAAGAAAAGAGATTATATATGAATCTCTCATATATAGCTTTAACATATGTATAAACATAACAACATTGTCACGCTTGTATGTGTCCCATTCTAAACTTCCTTCTGCTCTACTGTGTATTTTTAATGTATCACTGATGTGTATTTCTTTTCTTTTTAAAAGTATTATTACCTTCCCACATTCCCTCTCCAAATAAAATAATTTAGTAAAATAAAGTATAACAAATTCACACATTTTTTGTCCTAAAATGTATGTCTCATTTTGCACCTCTCATTATTCATTGCCTCTCTGCCAAGAGACAGGAAACATGCTTTGTCATCAGTCTTTTGGAGTCCTAATTGGTTAGTGCACTGATCAAAGATCTTAAGGCTTTCAAAGTTGATTATTTTAATATTATGTATTTATTTATACAAGTCTTCCCAGTTTTTTCTGAATCTATCCCTTTTATCATTTTTGATGGCAAAATAACATCCTATTATATGCATATACCGTATTTTTTAGCCACTCCCCAGCAGATGGGTACCCACTTTATTTCCTGTTCTATGCTACAATAAAAAGTGCCACCATAAGTATTTCGTGTATATATAAGTCTTTTCTGTCTTTGAGCTTTCTGGAACTGATGTCTAATCAGTATCTCTGGGTCAAAAAGTATGAGCGTTTGGAGACAGACTGTTCTATCTTCTCTTAAGATTAGTTATTTTAAGTATTCGGTGTCTGGCTTTGTTTTAATGTTCTTTTCATTTACTTTACACCTTCTACTTCTTCTACTTACCTTTATCTGCATCAGTTTGTATAGTTCTTCCTATGGTTCTCTGATGTTGAAAATTTGTTGTTTCTCATGGAATGATAATATTCCATTTCAATTATATAATACATACACAATATGTGTTTATATATGTATATATAAGACAAATGTATAATTATATAATGTTCAGCCATTCCCCAATACCCACTATGTTTCCTGGTTTTTTTTGCTACCACAAAAAGTCTGTTCTAACTTTTTAAGAACACCTACAAAATATTTTATTTTTAACAATTAGGTGAAATAAAAAAAGAAGGAACAATGAATATAGTGGTATTTCTAAAATAATCCCAGTTTGTTTTTTTATTGACCACAATATTTATCAACTTTGGGGGGATGTTTTTCAGCTTTTTTTTTAGGGCAGAAAAGAATCATATGAAATATGTACTCAAGATATCAATGTATCCAAGCCACATATGGATGGTTATTACCATTAGAACACTGGGGTTCCATTACCTATGAATTAAAGTCAATTCTCTTCTTTCAAAACCCTGGGACTCAGGCTTTAAGTCTGGCCATATGGAAAAGTAAGTAATAGCCTCATCTAGAGCTTTACAAGCTAGTGAGGAACTTGATATAGATAAGGTATAGAAAACATAGGAAACATTCACTATAGTTCAATCCAGTTCATCAAACACTGCCTAATATTGCCATGGTACAATATTAGAGATTGAAGATATGAAAATGAGAAATGTGTGTGTGTATGTATGTATAATTGTCCTTAAAGAATTTATAATCTACTAGAAGATAAGACATATATGCAAATAACTGTAATTCAAACAAGAATGTGATAAGTGCACAGGAAAACTCAAACAGGCATGAGGAATTTGAGAAGGGGGAACAGTTACTTCCAGAGAGAACCAAGTTAATTGGTTCATTGAGGAGATGGCATTAGGGGTAGGCCTTGAAAGAAGGGGGGACAGTGAGCACAAATGCAAAGGTAAAAGACTGTGGGTGTGTGAGAGTTGAGTGACAGGTAGACACTAAAGGTGGATGGGCAGTCCTTAAAAGGGCTCAAGATCAGAGACCAGAAATGGATAACAGTTAAGGCCAGCAGCAAAAACTATATAACTGTAGGCAATGAAAAATTTTTTTTGTTCAGTCCCCTGATTTCATTGATGTGGGGAATTGCTAGTAATGGAAATTCCCTTCACTGATTCAAATCAGCAACCTCTTTGTAACTTAATAATCTTACAGACTTGTTTTGGGCACTGATTGATTAAGTAACTGGCCAACGGTCACAGAGCAAGTATAAGTCAGAGTCAAGACTTAAACTGAGGTTTTCCTAACCTCAATTCTGGTCCTCTATCTACTATGCCATTAAAAGTCTCTTAGACAAGTTCTAAAAATAGGAATGATTTCTAAAATATCTTGTGTTCAAAGTTATATGTAATATTTTGCTGACAAATTACATTTGATTTAACTAAGTGTGAAATTAGATGAGTAAAAATGAGAAGATATGATGTGTGAGACAATCCATACCAGATCTACATCAAACAAACTTGTTTTGTAGAAAATTGGGAATTGGATAGAACAGACACTACCAGCATTTTCTTAGAAAGTTCAAGCCATGAACCACAATGTGGAGACCAACAAGCCTAGAAATCATCTTAGTCAGAAAGTATTCTATCCCTTATAGGCGACTAGGTGGCATAGTAGATAGAGCACAGGGCCTAGAATCAGGAAGACTCAGCCTTCAGCCTCTTCAGTTTAAATCTGGCCTCAGGATACTTCCTAGCTGTGTGACCCTCATTAAGTCACTTAACCCTGTCTACCTCAGTTTCCTCAGTTGTAAAATGTGCTGGAGAAGGAAATGGCAAACCACTCCAGTATCTTTGCTAAGAAAACCTCAAACGGGGTCATGAAGAGTCGGACATGATTGAAATGACTAAACAATTTATCTCCTTGCCAAATGCAGAGAAACAGAAGTCAAGGACAATCCCTTGTTTAGAATACAAACTTGTCTATCAAATCTCATAGAGGAAGAAGGCAGGTGATTAACAGCAGCATCACCTTATAAAACAGCAAGAAGCAATAAGGGGAAAATGTTTATAAAAACTGGTCAAGAAATCAAATTAAGCCAGATCATCCCTGAGGGCATTTAAGATTGAAACTGGGAGGACAACAGAAATGAAATGAAAAGAGATTGCAGAGACTTGAATCCTTTGATGGATCTGTGATTAATCAATGTGGGTAAGTCCTTCCGACAGCAAAGATCATAACCTATTCGTACCTTCTCATTCTATGTGAGTTTAACATCCAACATCCTGAGACTGTGTGGATAGGAAGAAAAGTGGTAAGCTATTTGCTGCTCATCTTTTGATCTCTGTACATTACTACCAGATCAGCCTATTTCCTTTTCCAGTCACACAACTCCAGTGATTTTTGTTTGTTTCTTCTTTGTTTTCCAAGAGGACCAATGACATCATGGGGTAATGTTTTGACTTGTACATGAATTAGATTTAAGTGAGGAAGAGTTGCACAAAGTTGTCACCTTCACTCTCCCAGAGTCATCAAAGCCCAGTGGAAAGACAAAAGTCAAGATGACTAGTGACGGCCTAGGACACAGAGGACGACCTTGGCATTTTCAATATCTGACCAAGCTCTAAGTACTCCATAGTGACTGCTTCAGCTGCCTTCCCGGCTGCTGGAACAAACTGTTTTCATTCTGCCCAGGGTAGATATTCCCAAACTCACAGATGAGGCCTGTTGGTTATCCTCAATAGCCCGTCTGCCAAGACAGTTTTGCCGGCTTGTGGTCACTGCACATGCTACAGCTTCCTGGAGCGATAGGTGAGAGTTGAGTGTCAGACAGACACCAAAGGTGGATGAGCAGTCCTGAGAAGGACTCAGCAAGCCCTCACACCAGAGGTGCTAGTCCTCCCTGAACACCTCATACACCCCTTTACATCTCTTTAATGATCTTTACACCACTGCTCCTAGGCAGTTCTCTGGTGGTAATGTTATAGTCTATTACATTATTATTATTATAGCCTGATCATTATGTACTTCTCCACTGCCAAATGACTGAAATAAGTAAGATTGTGAGAAATGATAAGTTCAAAATAAATTCTGAGTCACTACAAACAGTAGGTGCTCAAATGTTTGGACTGTTTTAATATTTACGGCTCACACACAGAACTATATGTGTTTGTTCTGTTTGTGTGGGCCCGTGAGGTTCCACGTACAGGGATCCAACGGAATATGGATTACTTTCTAAAAGGCATTTCCTTGAATGGAAATAGCAATTCTTAAGACCGATGGGGAATCAAAAGACTGTGGAAGCAGAGACACTTCTGCTCTGAAATTTACCTCTGATTCGCTCTCCTTATAGGGAAAGCAAAAGCCCTGGTAATATTTGGAAGAGAGGAAGATGGAAAAAATGGCCTTGCAAAAACTAGGGCAAAATCCCTACGATTTTTATTTACTACAAGGTTGGGTTCAATAGGGTTTTCACGTGATGAAGACAACATGGGGAAATGACGGACTATGGAAAATCCACGCTCCAATTGAGAAACAATGGACCTGTAGCAACCCTGGCTTCTAAATGCTTTAAGAATAAGCAATACTGAACAAAGGTTATGGCAAAGGAAAAACGAATTTTTTTTATTAAGGGAATGTTTAGAAGACTGCACCAACTTGAGCTAGTCATTACTATCATTTATAAAGTGCTTTAAAGTTTGCAAGGCATTTTTTTTATATTTATCATTTGATCTTCACATGACAACCCTGCCAAGTTGATGCTATTATCATTTCCATTTTACAGATGAGGAAACTGAGGCTAAGACTGGCTAAGTGACTTGCCCAAGGTCACCCAACTAATAAATATCTTTGACAAAATAAGACTCAGGTCATCCTGACTCCATATTTGGCACTCTATTCACCACCAACTTAACTACTGCATTCATATATTACCTTCCTCTCAAAGCAAACTATACACACGAAGGTATTAGGCCTCAGCAACTTTTAGGGACATGTTTTCAGGCCCCTTCATTTTGAGGGCTGTTTGCCAACTAAGGTCGAGTGAGAAGGGTGCTATAGATCTAGCCTTAAGAGAAGGGGACCATATCCCTCTGATGTGAGACTTAGGTAATTATCAAACTTAAATAAGCATTATTCATAAACAAGAAAAAAGTATTTATCAATCACATTTCTTTTCCTCAACGAAAAAGGGGGAAGAAATTTTTAAAAAACGGGATTTGCTTACTTTTTGTTTGAAAAAACTTTTAATAAATACAGAAAAAAAGGATAAAGAAAAAACAAATGGGATGGCATGCTTCTTGTACAGTTTAGATACAATTTCCTCTTCGCTGTTATCCCTTCTTCCTATTCATAGAGTGTTACTATGTTAGTTCGATCCCTTGTCTAGATGAAAGTCTCCTAATTGGTGCCTCTGCTTCAAGTCTCCCCCTACTCCAATCCATCCTTTTTGCATTGCTGCCAAACTGATTTTCCTTAAGTGCAGAACTCTCAATCAACTCCAGTGGCTTCCTATTGCCCCTAAGAAAACAAAAAGAAACTCCTCTACTTAACTTTTAAATGGGCTAGGCCTTCCCAATCTGGCCCCAATCTATCTTTCTTCTTTGTTAACTAAATTTTTCTCAATCAAAAAAAAAAGTCATCTCTCCCTCTCGTGGGGGGAAAAAAAAAACAACCCAGAACTCTTTAACAAATATGCAAACAAGCACATTTTGCAATGGCCACGTTCAAAACAATGGCTCGTTTCTGCACCTTCAAAGTGTCAAGAGGTGGGTATCATGAGTCTTTCAGAATTATGGTAGTCAGCGTTCTGAAGTTTTTCAAAGTTGTCTTTGAACAATGTTTTTATTATTGTATAAATTATTTTCCTGATTGTGCTCACTTTACTATGCATCGGTTCATACAACTATTCCCAGGTTTTCTCAGAAACAGTCCCGTTCACCTCTTATGACACAATACTATTCCATTACATTCATATGCCATAATTTGTCTCAATTGATGGGTAACTCTTTAATTTCCAGTCCTTTGCTACCATTAAAAAGAGCTGCTATAAATATTTTTGTATATATGGATCCTTTACCTCTTGGTTTGATCTCTTTGGGGCACAGATCCAGTAATGTTATTTCTGGGTTGAAGGATATGCACAGTTAAGCAACTTTTGGGACATAGTTCCAAATTACTTTCCAGAATGTTCATAGCTACACCAACAGAGCAATAATGGACCTATTTTTCTTTTTTTGCTAGGCAATGGGGTTAAGCGACTTGCCCAGGGTCACACAAGTGTTATGTGTCTGACACCGGATTTGAACTCAGGTCCTCCTGACTTCAGGGCTGGTGCTCTATCCACTGCACCACCTACTTTTCCACAGCCCTTCCAGCATTTGCCATTTTCCCTATTTGGTCAACTTTGTTAGTCTGACGGATGTGAGGTGGAACCTCAGAGTTGCTTTAATTCGCTTTTCTCTAATAATTAGTGATTTGGAGCATTTTTTTTTCAAATGGCTACTGAAATAGCTTGAATTTCTTTCTCTAAAAACTACTTGTTCATATCCTTTGGCCACTTGTCAATTGGGAAATGTCTTTTATTCTTATATATTTGAATCAGTTCCATATATATCTTGGAAATGAGACCTTTATGAAAGAAATTTCCTGCCAAGATTTTTTCCCCAGTTTAATTTGCTTCTCTTCTAAATTTAGCTGCATTGGTTTTGTTTGTGCGAAGATTCTTATATTTTATATAATCAAAACTGTCTATTTCATCTTCTGTCCCAAACCATCTTTTCACGCTAATGTTTATTATTCCCTTCCTACATTGTAGCCTGACTGATCTCTTCACTGTTTTTCACACGTGGCATTCTGCCTCTTGTTTTATGTTGGAATGTACTCCCTCCTTACCTCTGCCTCACAGAATCCTTCTAAGACACAGCCTTCTATAGTAACACCTTCTACATGAAGCCTTCCCTAATCTCCTCTCCCCCAATCACTAGGATCTCCTTCCCCCACAAACTATCTCATATACAGCTACTTTGTATCTATTTTACTGCCTTTGTATTTACTCTGCATAAAATGTACATACTTGCTGCCTCCCTTATTAGAACCTAAGCTCCTTCTCAGTAGAGACTGTGTTTCCAGCATTTAGCACAGTGCCTGGCATGATTCGACACTTTATAAAACTGATTACTCTCATTTATATGGTAGTATATATAGCTGAGTTCTACAGATGAATTTTAAAAGATAATCTTCCTGGCACTAGCTACATGTTTTCTTGTTTTAGATAGTAATAGATAGTAATATATCTTACTACCCAAGTTAGCATTTAGATAGCACTTTAAGGTTTACCAAATGCTTTACCTGTATTATCTCATTTGACCTTCACAACAACCCTTCAGGGTAGGTGCTATTACTATCCCCCATTTTACAGACAAGGAAGCCAAAGCACAGAGTAGTTAAGTAACTTGCCCAGGGTTACACAGCTGGTAAATCTGAGGCAGGATTCAAATTCAGATTTTCCTAATTCCAAGTTTGGCATTCTATCCAGTTTTCCACTTAGCTGCATTGATAATCCATTACACAACTTTATTTAATATACATTTTTGCTGAGTAAGGGATATATTGTAGTCAATGTGCAATTGTAACTTTCAGAATATAATTATAAAATGTATGCTTGGTATTTTGTATTTTTCCCTAATTAGCCAAATATTGTCTACTATTTTATAAAAAAAAAATTAAACACTGGGGCAGCTAGGTGGCACAGTGGATACAGCTCCAGCCTTGGAGTCAGAAGGACCAGAGTTCAAATGTGACCTCAGACACTTGATACTTACTAGCTGTGTGACCTTGGGCAAGTCACTTAACCCTGATTGCCTCACCAAAAAGCAAAATAAATAAATAAACACTTAAAGGCACTGAGAAGAGGTACTAAAGAAGCAATTCCCCCCCACATACACATTTTCTCTTTCCCTAATATGATATCCTTCTTCTAATTCTCTAACAGATCCAAACACACACATATGTCATTAGACACAATTTCTTAATGTTACACTACTTACACTCAAAGTTGCAATCCAGGCAATCGGATGACTTCATTATTTTTTCTTGTTCTCTGAGTCGCTGGCTTACAGCTTTCAATCGCCTAAGTTGAAATGATGAAAAAACACAAATAAAAAAGACTAGGCTGCTTAACAGAACGTTATGTCTTTGACACATTTATCAAAAAAGAAGAAATAAAATCAGACATTAGGAGTATAAATGAGGCTGTACACATCAACCCAGGGCCACTCAAGTTTGCTTCTATGTCAGTCAGCCAGTTGGTCAGTGAGAAACAGTTACTAAGCTCTTTCTAGGTGCCTGTTGCTATACTAAATAATGAGGATACAAAGAAAAGCCAAAATAGTTCCTTATCCTCAGGGAGCTTCCATTCTAATGGACTAAGCATATTTAAGATGTAGACAGAAGGGAAAGGCACTCAGTAGCAGATCCAAGAAAAGGCATCCAGCAGAGAGGCGGGGTTTGTGCTAAGGCCTGAAGGAAGGGAGAAAAACTAGGAGGCAAAGTAAGGAGGGAAAACATCCCAAGCATGGGGGGACAGTGACTGCAAAGACAAGAGATGGGAGATGGAGGGCCACTTGCAAAGAACCCCCAAGGCAGCCAGTACAGCTGCACAGAAGGGAATAAAACATAAGAAGCAGGCATGCTTGGAAGAGCTTTCAATGCCAAACAGGGGCAGGCACACAGTGGGTGCTCTACCAACGCCGAAAGCCACTAGAATTTACGAAGTAGGAGAGATACCATGGTCAGACACACACTTTAGAAAAAAATCTCTTTGGGAGCTGAAAGGAGACGTACTAGAAAGGAGACCAACTAAGAAGTGATTACGATAGTCCAGGCAACAGGTGATAAGGGCCTGAGTGAGGTGGCTGTGAGAATGGAGATAGGGTGACACATGAGAGAACAGAATGGTGAGTGACCAGGAAGAGCCAAAGATGACGCTGAGGCTGTGAGCCTGAGTGATAAGAGGATGACACTATACTCAATGGTAAGAAAAGTCTGGAAAAGAGGATGGTTTCAGGGGAAAGACAATGAGCCCTGTTTTGAACATGCTGAGTTTGAAATGCTGGAACATTCACTTTGAGGTGTTGAAATGGCAGTAGGTGATGGAGGCCTGGAGCTCAGACACTATGGCTTCATAGAGATCTGGGAGTCACATGCATAGAGATGATAATGAACTCATGTCACCTGATAAGATCACCAAGTTAGAGAGTATAGAGGGGAAGAGAGAAGAGGACACATTTGGTGGTTCTCTGTGTCTACAGGACAGGACTCATTTGGAACACAACTCCCAAGTTGTAAAAAAACATCAAGGCATCATTCCTTTTCCCTCTATGTATAGACAAAATTCTCAAGGATAAAATGGAACTCTCTTAATCTTCCTATCATTTGTGGGGAGTTGTAAGATTCCCCACTATACTCCAAAATAGTTTTTCTGCTCCTTTAGAATGTACAGTTTGATATCAATTGTTTAAAAAAAAAAGCCTTTTTCAAGCAATATAACTGTTAAAATGTGATCCGACTACTATTGTGATGTTTATCATCATTTTATAGGTATTTTTCCTTTAGTTTTCTTTCTTTTTTCATGTCTAATTGATGCTTCTTTATGATTCTCTCTATGCTCAACAGAAACTTCTCATTAAAAATAATAAAATTAAGATTTCTTTAAGAATTCTTAAATGAGGTGAGATAGGTTGAGCAGCATTATATTTAAGGTTCCTTTCTATTTTATGATTCTATAAAGTCTACAATTTGTGTAAGCTAATTTCTACTTCCCTATCCCCACTGTCAATGGAGTCAAAGGTCACAGAAAAAAGAATGTCAAGGGGCAGCCAGGTGGCGCAATGGATAGAGCACCAACCCTGGAGTCAGGAGGACATGAGTTCAAATCCGGACTCAGGCACATAATACTTCCTAGCTGTGTGACTCTGGACAAGTCACTTAACCCCAATTGCCTCAGTTAAAAAAAAGAAAAAAGGTCAAATTGTACTGTCAAAAAAATTCAAATTCTTGGGGCAGCTAGGTGGTGCAGTGGATAGAGCACTGGCCCTGAAGTCAAGAGGACCTGAGTTCAAATCCGGCCTCAGACACATAACACTTACTAGCTGTGTGACCCTGGGCAAGTCACTTAACCCCACTGCCTAGCCAAAAAAAAAAAAAGTTCAAATTCTTCATGAAGACAGAGTGTAATTAACATTTACTAATCTTTAATTACTTTAAAGATCTGTGATTTCATTCTTATGTGTATTCCTTGTACAAATCACAAACCCTGATTGCCTTAGAAACTCTTGTTTAACGAGATGTGGCCAAATACATGAAGCATCTAATGGACAATCCTCTGGGGATTAACCCTTCTCAGGTTTGCTGGGCCAAGACCCAGATTACAGGTTTATAATATAGCCTTATCCCCTTGCTGTATCAGAATCCTTTTAGGTTTCAGTTCTTCAACCTACTTGCTTCCCATGAGCCACTCCTCCACCCCAACTCAAAACACATCCCAACACACAAAGATGGTCATACCTTTAAAGGATCTTGCCATAATCCACAAGTGTACCACCTCTAGGTCCAACATCCCCAAATCCCCTTATTGACAATAATCTATTGACTTTTCACTTCTCCCTCTGCCTTCCCTTACAAAATACTACTCTTCATCTACACTTGACCCTCCAATCCATTGAGCCCCCAACTCTCTTCCAAACCATCTCTCTATATATTAGCCACTGTGTCTTCCTTCTCATCTTGACTCTTTGGTGAATCAATTCAACTCTACACTGTCATCTCCTCAGTCCTTGGACTCCTTATCACAGCACTAATTATGCCCATCCAAGCCTCAAGCTTAGCTTATTCTCAACACTGAAGTCTTCGTTCCCACACTGATGATCAACACTGATAAAGAAAATCATGTAACTGTTCTGGATCAACTACAAATTTATGTTACACAACCGCAATTGGGCTGTCACTGATTGTGGGCAATCCAACTATACCCTCCCTTATCAACTCACTGATTCTCCAGGGGCTCTTCCAAAATTCTTCATCTCTCCCCAAACCTCTCATGGTTCCTCCTCCCTTGAGAACCCTGCTTCATATTTTACAGAAACAATTGAGGCTTATTCAGTGCCAAACCAATCAAACTACCAAAGAACTGGATAGTGCCTACATTTTCTCTCCCTACTTTCATCTTAACCCTTTACAATCTGGCTTCAGACTTACCTATCATTCTACTGAAACTGCTCTCTCCATAGATACTCTTAGTTGCCAAATCCAATGGCCTTTTTTCAATCCTCATTTTCTTTGAACTCTCTGTAGTCTATGGCATCTGTTGATCACTCTTTCCTTCTTGATACTCTCTTGGTTTTCCTCCTACCAATCTGACCACTCCTCTGTCTCTTTTGAGGGATTCTCTTCTAGGTCACACCCTCTAATTGTAGGTGTCTCTCGGGGTTCTGTCCTGGGCCTTCTCTTCTCCCTCAACAGTACATCATTTGGTGATCTCATCAGCTCCCATCGATTTAATTTTCACTTTTATGCTGAAGATTCTCGAATCTATCTAGCCTGCCCCAATCTCTGCTGACCTTCAATCTTTTATCTCCCACTGCCTTTCACACATCTTGAAGTGTACACTCAGTAGATCTCTTAAACCACTATGCCCCAAACAGAACTCACCATCTTTCCCCCTAAATCTTCCCTACCCTCCTACCTTCTCTATTACTCTAGAAGACAATAACATCCTCCCAGTTTTGCAACCTAGGAGTCTTCCTAGATTTCTCACTACCTCTCACCCCCTATCCTCTCCAATCTGTTGTCAATGATTTTTAATTTCCCATTTGCAACATCTCTTGAATATGTCCCATTCTCTCCTCTGACACTGCCACCACTATGGTATGGGCCCTCATTACTTCATGCCTGGATTATTGCAGTAACCTGCTGGTGGGTCTGCCTGCCTCAAGTTTCTCTCCTCTCCAATCTATCCTCCACTCAGTCACTAAAGTGATTTTACTAAAGCATAAGTCTGATCACGTCATTCCTCCTATTCAATTAATTACAGTGGCTAACTATTACCTCCAGGATCATATACAAAATGCTCTATTTAGTATTCAAAGCCTTTCATAACCTAGTCCCCTCTTTCCAGTCTTCTTATACTCCTCTCCCCCACATGTACTCTTCCGTCCAGTGACATTGGCCTCCTGAGACACTCTATCTCTGGGTTTTGGGCATTTTCTCTGGCTGACCCCCATGCCTGAGATGCTTTCCTTCCTCTGCTCTGATTACCTAACTCCCTGGCTTCCTTTAAATTGCAACTAAAACCCCACCTTCTAAAGGAAGCCTTCTCCCAACCCCTCTTAATTCCAGTGCCTTCCCTCTGTTCATTATCTCCTGTTTATCCTGTATGCTTCCTTTACATATATCTGTTTGCATGCTGTCTCCCCAGTTAAGACTGAAAGCTCCCCGAGAGTAGTGATTGTCTCTTTTTGTGTCCCCAGTACTTAGCACAGTTCCTGGCACACGGCAGGTGCTTAATACTCATTGACTGACTGACAGACAGTTTCACAGCACATCCCAAAGCTTGTGCTCCGACAGCATAGTCTTCTAGAACCTCGAGTCACCTCTGCACAAAGAGGAGACACCAAGAGGACTGTGACAGAGATCTTGTCATTACATTTAAAAGGCAGCTGTTTTAAAGCTTCATCTGAAGTGTAGGACACAGATATGGGGGCACTCACTGTTAACTGTCCTTAATAACAACAACAACAATAATAATAATTATTGCTAACTTTTTTTCATGCTTTCAAGGTTTGCAAAATGCTTCACAAACACCTCATTTAATCCTTGCCAACAACCCTGGGAGGTAGGTACCATTATTACCCCCACTTTTGTTCAGTCATTTTTCCATTGTGTCTGATCCTTTGTGACCCCATTTTGGGGTTTTCTTGGCAAAGACACTGAAGTGCTTTGTGATTTCCATCTCCAGCTCATTTTATAGATGAGAAAACTGAGACAAACAGTTAACTGACTGGTCCAGGGTCACACAGCTAGGAAGTATCTCAGGCCAGATCTGAATTAAGGAAGAAGAGTCTTCCTGACTCCAGGCCTGGTACTCTATTCCAATGTACCACCCAACTGCCCCTATTTTATAGATAAGGAAATGGAGGCAGACAGAAGTTAACTGACTTGCCTCAGAGTCAAACAGCATGTAAATGCATGAGGTAGGTTTTGAACTCAGTCTTTTTAATTCCAGATCCATTGCTCTATGCACAGGGCCACATAGTTGCTTAACCAAACTCTGGTTTATTTTAGGCATGAAAAAAGCACAACTGTCAAGTCTGTATTATATTACTCCCTTTCTGTTTTCACTTTTCTTTTTCCTTCTATCACTTCTGTTTTTTTTTCCCTCCTTTTCCCTTTTTCATTACTTTCCTCTCTTATTCCACTTTTTGTTTCTTTCCTCATTGTTAGCTTCCTTTTTTTCCCCCCTACTCATCCTATTTCCCCCTTGTTTTTACTCAGTAACTATATTATACTCTTCAAAGGCCCATCATTCTTCTATTTCCAACAGTAGATCAATCCATAACCCCCCCCCATGGGACTAACTGCTCCCCACATTCACCTGCTTCTTATGTCACAAATAAATTAGAATTCTGATGTGTAACATAGAAGGAAAAAAGAGAGGGAACAATGACCTAGACTTTTTACTTGTTTCTATTCTAAAAAGGACAGTTGCTGGCCTTATGCTTAATAACAATTCAGCCTTTCAGTATAGCTACGCTTTGAACATGTAGCAATGTCTTTTGAGGAAAAATATACTGCTGTACTACTCTAAGAATGTCTCCAGAATTACTTACTCTCTGCCAACTTAATTATGTAAGTAAAAGAACTGATATTTGTTACTGAATTAAACATTTAGCCAAAGAACCCTCATATTTGAAAAGTTCTGTTACTCTGTTAAGGTGGTTATCTTAACAAAACAAAAACAAAAACAAAAAACCCTCCTCCTGAGTGCAGGGGCATAGGTCAGTGGGTCTATCTGGTCACTTCATCACTGCTCTTTTGGTACTTCTTGAAGAATTAGAAATCCTCTCTGCAGGCTATGGTTGAGTATATCACTCCACTATATAAAAAGCAATGGAAATAGCCCATATTTGGAGTAAAAATACTCAGTTTTATAAGTAATAGTTTCACAGCATGTTCTGAATAGTTTACGTTGGTTATAGGCTAACTGACTGATGAAAAGTAATTCTGCAAATCTGATTCTGATACTTGAAAAAGCAGTGCATTTAGAAGAACCGAGAGAGACAACAGCTTGGTATAGGGGAAAGAAGGCTCAACTTATATTCAAGAAGGGAATGAGCTCTAATTGGCTTCAGACAATTGCTAGTTATGTGATCTTGAGTATATGACAAACTCTCTCTGGATCTCAATTTAGCAGCTGTAAAAGAAAAAGGGTTCGTTTAGATGACCTCTAAGGTCCCTTCCTAGGCAGCTGGGTGGCACAGTGGACAGAGCACAGCACCTGGAGTCACGAAGATTCATCAAAAAGTTCCTAGTTGGGTGACCCTGGGCAAGTCACTTAACTCTATTTGCCTCAGTTCTTATCTGTAAAAAGAGCCAGAGAAGGAAATAGCAAACCACCCCAGTATCTTTGCTAACAGAATCCTAAATGAGGTAACAAAGAGTTGGACATGACTGAAAAATGATTGAACAACAGAAAAAGGTCCCTTCCAACTCTAAAAAACAAGAGACACAATCAAAAGAAAGTGTGTTAGATTTAGTCATAGGTCCTGGGTTTGAATCTAGCTTGGCTACTTACTACTGTGTGAACTTGGGCAAATAACTTTTTCTCACCTCTAAAATGAGGGAATTGAATTTGATGGACTCTGAGATGCCTTCCAGCTCTCTGTCTCTGATCCCATGGACCCCAGGTCCATGGAGGGACAGTATTATCGGCTGAGTCCTGGGCCACCCGCTCCCTGAGATATTTTCAACTTTAAGACACCCATATGCCAGATATTCTGGCCTTAAAAATTTCTTTGTGAGTGGTAGTCCCCAGTCCTACTGTGGTTCCTTAAGTCTGACACTGCTGGCTATCAGTGAGATGGAAACAAACCAGGAGAGAAAAGGTTAGAGAATGCTAAATAAAACACTCTCTCCACAACTATTCGAATTTCACCATCTTTCAAAGTTTGGTACCTTATTTTGCTTTACACTTTCTTCCCCTGAATTTCCTAGCAAATTAATTTCTCTAACTAACTTAAAGAAATCAGAGTTTTCAACTATACTCGGGCCACATTAAGCCAGGTCAAGCTTTTACTGGTAGCAGGAAACACTGAACAGCTTCCATGACACCCCGAGTCTGGCCCAACCTGGCTCTCCCCAACTGCAGAATAAGCTGCATCCACCAAAGCCCTAATACTTCTGCAACCAAACTCACACTATGGCTTTCCATCTAATACAAAAGGCTTGGCAATTTGGACTAAGGGCTCAATTAATACAATTTCAATTACAATAGAAATTTTTCTGGGTTGGCCTGGAAGCCTAAACTTAATTTATATTCTTGTTTATGAGAAAATACATTCTAAGTTTCAGATCATCTCTTTATAGATGAATTTCTATAATACAACCTGGTTGTTAAATTGGGAAAGACTGCGGATAGACTGTTTTGAAGTTAATGGCCACAAAGCAGTCATTCCAAATAACAGCACTTTTGCTAAATTGATAGGGCAGCTAAATGGTTGATTTTCATTATGTAAGTAGTTAAAATGAACGCTATGTTCATTATTATTTTTATATTCACATATATAACTATTTAAAATGTAATGCACTGAAAATTGCTATGCAATGAAATCACAATGATATGTAAAAAAACTTGTTTCCAAAATTCAAAAATTTGAAAATAAGCTTTCTTTTTGGATTTGACATAATCACATTGCATTTTCATGCTCATAAGTTTCCCGCCATGGATGGAGTCTAATACTATTTTTCCCCTCTCAATCAAATTGTGATTTCTATTTCAATATGAAATCTAATTTGGAAAAAGACATTAAGAACAAAAAAACACACAACTTGGGAGTCAGAGGACCTGAGTTCAAATGCTGGCTCTACCACTTACGACTTCTATGATCTTGGCTAGGGCAGCTAACTTTTCTAGGCCTCAGTTTATCATTCCTAAAATGAGATGGTGGGATAAGATCCTTTCCAGTTCTAAATCTGTGATTCTGTAATCCAACAGATAATATATGTACTTGAGATCCAAGATTTTAAAAAGGAAGCAGGTCCCTATGTCAATGAGACTGCAATATCACTATGCCTTAAGGCAATCAATATTTGTGAGTTGTCAAAGTCAAAACATTCACCAACCTGGGTCAAGCCTTTTGGTGATGAACATCTCTGAACTTAGCTGTTCCTTGCAGATAAGAGGAAACAACTTCCCCCACCCCCACCAAAAAAAAATCTTTGGGCTCATATTTTGCCTTTCAAGTTAAGTATGACCTGCCTGAATTTGTGCTCTTTTGACACTAAATTTTATTCCTTTACTCAATGAGAGAATTTGCTCATGTAAAACATTAAGTAAAAAAATGTTTTAAAATGTTCTAGTACTACAAGCTTTGTCTCAAATTTCTAGTGAATTATTTCTAAGGAGGGTCTCTTTGGAGGTCTGTTTTAATGAATAAAACATTTGTAATTAGTGGTATCCACTTGTAATCAATGATTACATCAAGCATCTCAAGTGCTCAGGCTGCATGTGGCCTTGCCCTCTTGTATCTATAGCTCTATCTCTAGAACAGAGTAGAATAGCTGTTGTTTACACTTACAAGGTTAACTCTATTTAGCATACTTTAGTTAAGAAAGGAAGACAAAGTGAAGTCCATTTTAGAGAGATTTCCATAAAAAACTACATCCAACAGTTAAAAAATCAATAGTTTCAACACATAAGGTGTTAACCCTCAGATTTTTTTGTTTTGTTTTTTTCTAAACTGGCCTATCCGAATGCATTTCCCAAGTATGGATAACTAGGGCTTTCTTGCAATAAAGTTTTTACTATATTTTGGAAACAATGTTAAATGACCACAAAAAAAGTTCTCTTTCCTACTACATAGTTAAGAAAAGCCTCCATGTGCATCAATTATACTGCTAACAAAACAGGACATGTAGTTTGTTTTACTTCCAAAAATTATCCTCTTCCACAAACTACAAAAAAAGGAGGAAAAAAAACCTCTCAAAAAGGCAAGTCCTTTATTACTTCAAATGCTCCATTTCAAATTACCCATATCAACTTTAAATAGAAATGGAAGACAGCCTCTCAAAGACTTACAGGGCTACTACTGTATTTTAAAGATGGGAAACTGCAATCTAGAGAGGTAAAGTCACATGTTTAAAGTGGCAGAATTTTGGATTCCGGTGGCAGAACTAGGACTGGAGACCAGGCTTCTTTTTCTTACTCCACAGTTCTTCTAGAAGCATCTTCAGTAAAGTCAGTAAATCAACAGGCAGTTATTAAACACCTTCTACGTGCTATGCTCAGAGCTAAGTATTGGGATTACAAAAAAAGACAAAGGGCAGTCCTTGCCCTCAGAGAGCTCACAGTCTAATGGGGAAAACAATATACAAACAACTCTGTACAAAGATGCCACAGAGACAGTAAATTGGAGACACTCTCAGAAGGTAGACACTAAGAAGGAGAACTGAGAAAGGCATTGTGTGGAGGTAGGATGTTAGCCGAGACAAAAAGTAAGAGAAGAGAGGGAATGCCAGTCATGGACAACAGTCCACAGTTGGAAGCCTCAGGACTTATACGACACATTCTTTGAATATTCTTATTAATTGCAAATCTTTGGCTTTTGAGGGTAGGTTTTTTTTTTAAATTTTAGAAGTAGCCAAAAGAAATATGGAACCAAGTCTAGTGGAAAAGGTAGATAATTAAAAATGAGAAAAAAAACTTTAAAAAAGATTTTTTTAAAAATGAAGTATGACCATAAACCTTCTCTGATGCCCACAAAAGGAATTTCTTCTTTACCTGAACATCCATATCATTTTGTCTTTTTATCATACTTATCACTATATATTGGAATTATCTGTGTATATTTTATACTCCCTACTAGGTATGAAGATCTTTGAGGCAATGATTACATTGTGTTCATCTTTGTATCTTCCCGCCTCCTCCCTACTACAGTGTTACATTCAATAAATGTTTGCTTTACAAAGGAAACCCACTAACCTCCGTAAATGAGTATTTTCACTCCTTAGGGTCTGCATAGCTAAAGCTATTTCACTCTCCACTTGAGCATTTTCGGCTACTTCTGGAAGCAGAGCTATGCACTCTCCCACTTCTTTAATCAACCTCTGAATTTCAGAATCCCCTATAAAAGAAGTAAAGCATTAAAAGCAATATTATATATACCCAGTCCCTAAAAAGCGATGTTTCATAAATATACATATTGGTGATATACATAAGTTTGAACTCAATTATTCAGGGGTTAATTATCCAGGACTACTATTTCCCCTTCCTTGAGGCCTTGAGGTCCTCTCATTAGAATTTCTATGAAGTGTTAAGCAGTGTAAGAGATGACACTCAAATCAACATCATTTTGATCTTAGTGATCATCACAGATAAAAACTATGGTAGGTGGTTCACTGGAAGGGGCCTATTTCTTTTCAAGGGGTTTTATTTTACATTGTTTTCTTTTTAATCTTTCAATAAAACTTCTTGGGAAAAAAAGAGTCTGGTAGGAAATCTTTTCCCATTTACGCCTTTGAGAAATGACTATATTGAATAATGGTCAGATTAATTATATTTACCTTTACTCTATATTAGTGATTGTCAAAGGGTCCTTCAAATAGTTCATGGGCTAGTCTAATATACAAGTCATAATTATGTCACAATAACAACTTTTGTTTCTGGTATGAATTAATAGCTTACTCTAGATGATCTCAGAAGCCCTTTCTAGTTTTAAAATTCTATGATTCTATTTAAAAAACCAGCCATCACCTCCTTGGTATGTCATCAAAAGTAGCATCATTAATTCTGTTGCCCATTTTTTACCAAACTCATTCATTATCACCCATGGTATCTACGAACTGAAAAAGTATGAGAACTGGTACACTACTATCCAAAGTCTGCAATGAGTAGAAAATATATTTTAAGCATTAAAACAATTTTGAAAAGCTGAGGGTATTTATAATAGTCACTCTAAGCTGGGAGACATGCAATTAGATAATTGCAAATTTATTTAGCAGTACACCTACCAGTTGCTTCTGTTCAGAGAAACATGAGCGGATAGATTCAATAGCACAACAAATTTGCCACACTGAAAATGACGTTTTAGAATAATGAAGTACTTTTATCGACATATGCAGAGATTAGACATTAGTTATTCAGTCTCCACTGCCAGAAATCTGTTTACTGAGATTAAGATTGTTAGCACTATGTAAAAGTGACTATTTGAGAAAATATGTAAGAACGAAACATACAATGACAGTAACCGGATACAGCTTCACTGAAATAGCAAGTCTCTCTACCCCCAACATTTTTCCTTTATTAGATATGAATGAAAAGGACATAAAAAGAAGCTTTAGGTTAGAAAGTCTTTTCAACATAGAAGTTTCATAAACACTGATATATGATACTAAGATGAATCTACTGAAATTCTTCTCATCTCTAGGATGGGTTTTATCAATTTTTTTTTGGCTGAGGTACAGGTGGAGCTTTTAAAAGTCATGGAATCATAGAATTTAAAAACTGCAAAAGATAGCTGAGGAATGATCTAGTCCAACCCTTTTATTTTAGAGGTGAGGGGCTGAGACTCTGAGAGGTTAAGTGACTAGCTTCTGGGAACAAATTAAGTTTATGGTGGGGACAGGGCCAAAACCAAGGCCTCCTATTTCTGACCCCAGTGCTCCTTCTACTAGACCATCATGATTCATGTATTTGGACTCAGTAATGTAAAGTCACACGTGCCTGGAACACAATACCAGTAGGTACTTAAGAATTTGTTGATGAATCATAAAAATCTGAATGCTATGTGGTCCTACAACATTTGAAATGAATAGAAATAGCATTAAGGTTTAATTTCTTTAAAAAGTAAAGTTTTTACAATACTGTACAGAATATTGTCTTGATGGCTAAAGATATTTCTACCAATATTATCTGATTCACGGAGTTAATCATTCTAACTTACATAATTACTAATGCTAGCAACAACCTGAAACTGGCATTTAGCCTTATATTATGTTGTACAGTACAATGAATAATAAAGTTCTAAAAGAAAGGATGCACCTACCTTGTTCCACAACCAGTGCCTTGAGTTCTCCCAACAAATACTTGAGTGTTCTAATTTTGGGGGATGCTTCTTCTGAACTTGCACTTTTTGTCTTCTGTATACACTTGGCAGAATTTGGGTCTTGCATGGCTGCTACTTCAACTATTTTTAAATCCTCATCATCACTGGAAGAATTCCAAATATGTTCTGAAGAGTCCTCTTCAGTGGTCAAGACTGAAGGCTGCTGTAATGGATCAGGGTTTTGGTGCTTCTCATGTGCTTTTATTCCATGAGGATGTAATAGATCCAGGGATGCCTGAATACACTTTAACAAATTTATTTCCTTGCCCAACTGCTCAGAGATTCCTCGTGCTTCTAGAATTCCATTATCATGGACTAATGGCTGAACTACTGGAACAGTTTGCTTATTTTCCCCAGATGTTGGCAGACAAGATGTGTGAGGAGGATTAGTGATGATGGTTTGCACTGGAACATCAGAAGAGGTTAGAGGAACTGTTCCACTTTGTAGAGGAACCTGAACCTCCTAGGGGGGAAAAAGGACGTATAAATGAAGTTTTGAAAAATTAAAAGCAAATTACAATTGTCTACAAGGTAGTCATTGAGATAAATCAAAATCAGAGTTATTAGAAGCTACATCTCTCTGAGGTGCTTTTAGTTCTTGCCTTATGTAAATTTGCATTACATAAATTCAACTTTATGTAAAGAATTCTGAAATTCCCATTCCCAAAAAACCTATGTAAATTTTACTGTATGATACTATGCTCACTCTCTACTCCTGCCCTCAGCTAAGCACTCTACGGCCTCCCCCTTACCCCACCAAAGAAAATCCCACTCCAAATGAAAGAAGAATGGACACAAGCAAAGACCACTGCTGCCTCACTTGGCTTGAGACCTCCAGTGATGAGAGAAGACCTTTGTCGTGTCCCATTCACCCATCCCCATTGTCTGAACTAGGTTACTGAGTGTCTGTCCTCAGCCCCAGTTTGTCACTTGACCTCTCCTGTTGTATCCTTGTCTGCCTGCACATGTTCTCCTTCTCAGTTCCAGCCAGGCCCTATGTGGCTGTCTCTGGTCCCAGTGTATTCCTCCTCTTGCTCCCACTTCTCTGTTCTCAGCCCTCACATGTCCTTGAACTGCTCTACCCTTTTCACCCCTTCCATCTCCACCAGCAGGCAGTTCCCTTCTTGCCTTTCTCTGGCCCACATCTGTGAGCAAATTTACATTACGCAAAAATTGCTTTACATAGAAGACTGTGGAACAGTCCACTTACATAAAGTATAAGCATATGTGCACATAAGCAAAGTATAAGCTGGTTTTTTTCTATGCTACAAGGATTCTTATGACTTAGAGTTGTTTAGCTCTTTACACACTCTGTGAATATACAAAGCTAATGGAAATAAGAAATCTATGAACACCTTTTGTAGTTTTAACATATCAGGAGCTTAACATTAAGACACAAGCTCATGAAATCCAATTTAATTTTCCCTGTAGGGCAAGTGATATCTATTAACAGACAATTGATGTTTATGTTACAATGAACTGTACTTACAGATTGAACATCAGAAGGCTGAGCTGGATCGTAAGGAGAGAGAATGGGTGTGGAGGTGGGTATGCCATAATTAAAGACTGGAGGACCTTGACATTTTAAAGACAAAAAGGAAGGAAAGAAAACCTTACACTGTTTTTAGAATAAGAAGACAGTTTAACTATAATTCTTACTTACACTTTTAAAAATGTGTCACTCATACTAACCAGAGTCAGAAATGCTTTGAGAACTTTGGGCATTGATTAGAGACATCTGTGTCTGCACATGCTCACAGAAGGTTTTGTACATTGTGGAAAAGTCAACATTGACAGGTACTTGAATTGGCTGAGTCTGTTTTGTGCTTGAAGAATCTTTTTCATTTTCAGTAGACACTATAAGAGGTAGATGTTTCTTATGACCTGAAGACACTAATGGAGAAGGAAACAAAGAATATTCCAGACTTTCATACCATATGATTCTAAGGTTAGGTGGGAGCTGTAATAACCATGTTCCAAATGTTGGAGGGGATGTGGAAAAATAGGTGTAATTTTGGCTGAGCAAGCTGTGGTCTATGATTGTGATGAAATACTATTGTGCTGTAAGAAATGATGAAACGGATGGTTTCAGAAAAACCTGGAAAGTCTTATATGAACCAATGCAAAGCGAAGAGAGCAGGACCAGGAAAACACTGCACACAGTAACAGCAATATTGTAATAATGATCAACTGTAAAAGACTTAGAAATCAGAATTCTGATCAAGTCAGTGATCCATGGAGAGCAAGGAATAGTTTACCTGCCAGATCTATGGAGAACAGAAGAATTTATGACCAAACAAGAGATAGAGAACATTATGAAATACAAAATGGATAATTTTGACTACTTAATAACATGCAGATCTTTGACATCTTTCATTTTTCTATCTCAAATTATATTTTCTAGCATTCCACTCTCTTTTCCTGTGCCTACCTTTATATTGAAGTCACCATATATCAAGATATATGTTGACTCTGTTAGTATAACAAAGAACTGGAAATTATAGGTGCATATCTGTCAATAGGGAATGAATAAATTAAGATATATAATTATAACAGAATATTAATGTGCTCTGTAACAGATAAAAGGGACAGTTTCAGAGAAACCTATGAATATTTGTGTGAACTGATCTGATATAAAGTGAAGTGAGTAGAACCAGGAGAACAATTTATAAAATAACATTATAAAAAAAATAACTCTCAAACACTTAACTGTGATCAATGCAATGACCCATGATAATTCCAGAGAATCCATGATGAAGCATGTTGCTCACCTCCACAGTTAATGTGGAAATCCTAATATTCATAAAAAACCCTGCGGCATTATTCTTTAGGGGCTATCGAGTGAGTGAGTGTGTGTGTGTGTGTGTGTGTGTGTGTGTGTGTGTGTGTATGCTTTAGAACCATACTAAGACTTCTGGAATACTCAGGAAAAATGGATGATTTTAGTGAAACAATGAAGACACTAATTTTTAAAGGTGGTAAGATACCAGGATATATCAATAAGAAATTGTAGGGGCAGCGAGGTGGCACAGTCGATAGAGCACCAGCCCTGGAGTCAGGAGGACCCAAGTTCAAATCTGGCTTCAGACACTTGACACTTACTAGCTATATGATCCCAGGCAAGTCACTTTACCCCATTGCCTCGCAAAAAAAAGAGAGAGAGAGAGAGAGAGAAATGAGGCCCTTATCAGAGACACTGGTTGTACAAATTCTTTCCCAGTTTTATGCTTCCCTCCTAATCTTGGTTGCATTGCCTTTGTTTATGCAAAAACTTTTCAATTTAATGTAGCTCAAAATCACTAATGGGGCCAAGTGCCTTCAGCTGTTCTCAGTGATCATACTTATATTTGAAGAGGGAAAAGGATTCTCAGTTTTTCCTCAAGGAGCAAGGCCCTCTCCTGTTCCTCCCCTTCATCCATATTAGGTATTATCTGCTGATGAATACAAACCCTAGATAGATGCTTTATATTTAAATCAGGAAAAAGAAAAGTGCTTACAAATTTCTTTATGGACACATGAAGGAACAACATTTTTGGGTTGTCCTTTCTTTTTTATTTTGTTTCCTTTCCATTCCCAAGGTCTTGATCCAAGCTTCCCAGAAGATCCTTTTCCTGGATTCCCACAGGTTGCCTCTGAAGATTAATTTAAACCAAAAAGTCATTAAAATACACAAACAACTTACACAATAAAAAATGATCACCAAGAAAGCATTATAAAAATAAAATCTGAACCTCCATTTTGCAAAATATCCTGAAGTAAAGTTGCGCAACGTTCAAGTCCGTGGGGTACTGTTCCAACCTGTAAATAGAATATTTTTTAGAATAAGGTTAATATGAGTCTCTCGTTAAAGAAAATACACATGGCACTAAGAAGATATGAGCACAGTGGAAAAGACAGTAGAGCTACCAGGGTTCACTCAGTCAGCAAACACTGATTAAGTGCTTATTATATGCTAAGCAGCCTGGGATTCAAAGAAAGACAAAAACAGTCTCTGCCTTCAAGAAGTATGCATTCTAATGGAAGAAGACGACATGTAAATAACAAGGCATATAAACTAATGAATGAACACATGAACACACGCAGGAACACAGAGTAGACGGATGGTAATCTCAGAGGGGAAGGCACTATTAGTTATGGAGAAGAGAGCAGGAAGGGCTTTAAATGCCCAAGTATTTTATATTTGATCTTGAATGTAACAGGGAGAAGTTGGAGCTCACTGAACAGGAAAGTGACATACTCGGATCTGCACTTTAGAATTACCTTGGTAGCTGAGTGAAACATAGACTGAAGTGGGGACAGACTTGCCCAGGGAGACCAGTTAGAAGGTTATTGAAGTAGACCAGGGGAAAGTTGATGAGGGCATGACTGAAGTTACGGCTGTGTAAGCGGAGAGAAGGGGATGTACTGTAGAGGTATGATGAAGGTAAAAATGGCAATTTTTGATAATGAACTGTCTATGCGGGGTAAGAGTGAGAATGATACTGAGGCTGTGACCCCGGGAAGATGGCAATGTCCTTAATAGTAATAAGGAAGTTTGGAAGAGGGGATGATTTGAGGGGGAAAGATAATGAATTCTGTTCTGTACAGACATGTTGAGTTTGAGATGCCCTTAGGACATCCAGTTAGATGTCTATGAGGCAATTGGTGATGCATGATTTAGGGGAAAAAGACTAGGATAGATACAGATTTTGGGAATCATTTGCATAGAGATGGCAATCGAATCCATGGGAGCTGATAAGTAAGATAGTAGTATAGAATGTGAAGAGAAGAGGGTCCATAACAGAGCCTTGGGAGATAGCAACAGTTAGTGAGTACAATATGGATGAAGAACCATCAAAGGAGACTGAGAAGAATCAGTCAGACAGATAGTAGAAAAAGGAACGTACAGTGTCACAAAGACCTAGAGTGGAGAGAACAAATATATCTGTGCAGGGAGAGCTCTCCATGCTGCACCAAGCTGTAATATTATCCTGTCTTGTTGAAGTCTAGTAGTATCATTTAAAAAACAGAGGCAATGAAATCAATTTTGGTATATTTGAGAGTGGGCCTTACAATTGTGGGGCTTCCAAGCAATTCAGGCAAGGAAAGGGAGGAAAGAAGTCAGAAAGGAGACTACAAGCTGTGATGTACAATAGTTCTGACCTGGGCTATGTGGCCATTCTTCCTTCTGTATATATTGTGCTATCTTATGGGAATACTGCATGTTTTGGGGAGGTGATCCAAAGGTATATACTCTGCTTCCTTAAGGATATCTCCTGTGTCTAGGTGGCACAGTGAATTAGAACACTGGGCTTAGAGACAGAAAGATTCATCTTCCTGAATTCTGACTTCGAACACTTACTAGTCACTTGACCCTGTTTGCCTCAGTTTCCTCATCTGTAAAATGAGCTGGAGAAGGAAATGGCAAACCACTCCAGTATTTCTGCCAAGAAAACCCCAAGTGGAATCACAAAGATTCAGCCATGACTGAAAAACAACTGAAGAAGAAATCTGTTTAGAATGAAGTTGTTGTACTGCCCTGAGGGCACAGTAAACACCATTAAGGATTTGGTCTGTAATGCTTTCTGTCAGATTCACCAAAAACTACGTACTCTGGAGTAACTTTTGTGCACGCTCACTCTTCTTGAAGCATGTCTGGTAGGCTAGAAACAAGACAAAGGATGAAGCAAGATAATAACAAGAAATAAATTTAAAAGGAGAAATCATGTTTCCTAGTTGTCCATATTTCATATGTAAATATTTCCATTTATTAGGATTTACAAATGGTCATATTAAATGAGCTTTTGTATCTACTGTAAGAGAATACTGATTAAAACAAAAAATTCTTACCTGCTCATCAGAATCAGTAGAATAGAGGGAGTAGCCAGAATCTGCATCAGCACGGGCTATTTTTCTCATAGGGATCCTGGAAAACAAGGGCATCTTTAGACCGCTGGGATTTTTAAAATCAACTTAAATATACATTTTTTTAACTTCCCAAATATCAAAAATAAAGAACAAACAATGCTTCACTTAATTTTATAATAAGAGTTGCTATCTTAGCCACCTTTAAAATCTCTTTGAAGGTTTTAGATCTACAAAACTAAAAAAATTTCAGGGGGATTGGGGAAAGGCTTCCTATAGGATTTTAGCTCACACCTGAAGAAAACTAGAGAAAAGTCAAGAGGCAGAAATGAGGAAGGAGAACATTCCAGGCACAGAGGAAGCCAGTCAAGAGATGGAGTGTCTTATTCAAGTAACAGCAAGGAGGATAATGTCATTGGATATAGATGGATATACTGGATACTAGATATACTGCATACTAGATTGGAACCTCGATGAAAATCTTTGCTAGGCATACTGAATATTGGGTTTTAAAATATCTATTATTATCATTGCAAATCCAAAGGTAATATTACTGCCTTTGATAACTGTATATGCTGTTGTGGCTGATGAACCTGTACTCTGTTGAATGTAAATCCATACTGCTTATTACAATTTGAGGGTGTTTGAGATTGTCTTCTGAAAAAGACTGTAGTTAACCTGGAAAGATGCAAGTAAAGGCCTTTTAATGTCTGAAGGAACATGAACAAACATTTTACTAGATACGAAATTTACAAAATTTTACAAAATTTACTAGATACAATATTTCTGATCCCCCCCACTGATATATGGCAAAGAAAACTCAGAGCCAATTCAGAATACAGTTTTACTTAGAGGTCATATAAGAAAAGACTAATGTAATCTGGTTCCACAGTATGGAAAAGAGAAGGCCAACATGGTAGCTAGCAACAGTACTCAAATCTGTTAGTGGTTATGAAAGGTGATAATAAGCAGCCACTATGTTGCTTTTTTAGGAGCAGAAATGAAGAAATACATTTACAATATAGCAAAGAGTTTTCAGATGAGACACTCAATGATGCCGGAATTATGAAACAATGAAACATATAAACAAGGAAGGATCCGGAACCCAATTAACCAGAGTTTTTTAATGAATGGAAAGCCATCTGTCTTTGTGAAGGAATTTGATTATAGTCTTGGCCAGAGACTAGGTAACCTATTGAGAACCCTGAAGTCCTTTAATTATGTAAGTTCTTACCTTTTCTTTCCAGCTGTTAATTTACTTGATCCAGTTTGTCTTCCAGATGATGATACCTGCTGAATATTAAAGTAATTGTCCAAATATTTTTATTACAGCATATTAGCAGCATTACTAATTGCTCTTTTAAATTAATTAAATCCACCCTAAAGTGACAGTTTTTATACACCTAAAAAACCCTTTCAATAAAAATACTATATTAAGTACCCCCTGTGTGTAGGATAAGTGATTAATAGCAAGACTTCCACACAAGAAAACTTTTAACTGCAAGCGTCCAATTTGTAACGTACTGTCATCCTCTACCAATCCATGCTGTTCTACACAATTGAGAACAGCAGGTTCTGAAGATGGTTCACCTTTGTCTCTCAACATTTATCTCTGAATTAATTACCTGCTTTCCCAATCTGTCTTTGGACACTGTAACATGTTATATTTGATTGCTTTCCTGAAGCCCATTCCTCTTGCAAGTGCTATATTTCAGAGGTCTGGGTTTATATCTTTGGTGCCACCCATGCAGACTGTAACCCCTTTACAGACGAGTAGACTGACCTGAAGAGTTGCTATGTCAGAAAAATCAAACATCCTGAGGTTACCTCTCAAATATAACTTAAAAGTCCTGGAATGACGGCATACAATCAATCACCAGGCTCCTTTCTAGCTTAGAAGGAATGAGACAAGCCTATTCTCTGTATGAGAACCCAGGATCACCTCTATGCTTTGATGAAGTATTGCAGCACAGTAGAATTTCAGTAGAACAGTCATCATTAGGATGCTGAGATAGGAGAATCTTTCAAAACCCCCAAAACCCTCATACAAACATGTACAGTCAATCAAACCAATTCCCACATTAGACACATTCAAAATATCTCAATCTACACTGAGTCCATCACCTCTTTATCAGGAGGTGGCATATTTCACCATGAATCATCTGGAATTATGGTCATTGCATGGGATTGATCAGTGTTCCCAAGTCTTTCAAAGTTATTTGTCTTTACAAGATTATTATTTCTGGTTTGCTCACTTCACTCTGTTATTCATATGTCTTTCCATGTTTTTCTAAAACCATGCCCTCTATAATTTCTTACAAAACAATAGTATTCCATCCAATTGATATGCCATAACCTGTTTCGCTATTCCCCAACTGGCAGCAGTTTCCAGTTCTTTGCCACCATAAAATGATCTGCTATAAGCATTTTTGTATATATCGGTCCTTTTCCTCTTTTTTTGATCTTTGTGGGTGGGGTATACACTTATTAGTATTATCACCGGGTCAAATGATATGTACAGTTTAATAGCTTTGGGGACATAGTTCCAAATGAAAAAAGGAATTTTGATGGAAAAAGGAGACAGCCTCCCAGCATAATTATTGCAAATGGGTCAACAGTCACTTAGATACAAGTTCTGGTTTTATTTTTTTAAAATCAGGTATTATTAATGGATCTCATACAAATGACAGTAAGATAGTATAGAACAGAATACACATAACTGATAAGGAAATTAAATATAGGTGAAAGAAAATTGTAGAATAAAGTTATTTTGGAAACTCTTCATGAAAGAGGTATTCTTGAGTGTGTCCTGGAAGAAAATTTGTAGCATTTAGACAAACGAAGAGGGAGGAGGAATTTCAGGTGGGAAGAATTGAAAACAGAATTAGCAAAATGCAGGGTTAGTTTAGGAGATTAAAAAAACTGGTTTAAATGGAATTGAAAGGACTTTTCTGAGGAACAGTGAGAGAGCTAAGATAATATCTGATATATAAAGGGGGACCAGCTGTGTAAGGACCCCGTGTGCCAGGCTGAGTGGTTTGTATTTGATATACTAGGGAGCCATTGTAGATTCCTGATCAGAGAGAAATGATGTTATGAAAATGTAATTTTAAGAGGTCCAATCTGGTAATATTAAGTAGAATGGACTAGAGTGGGGAAGGGCTAGAGGTAAAGATCAATAAAAAATTTATAGGATGAAGCTGGTGGCTGTGAAAATGGAAAGGAAGAAACAAACTCTAGAAAATATAGCATAGTAAAAAAGACTTGTGGGAGTTGGAAGAGGGAGAAAGCAAAGATAAGTCTAGAAGATCAGGAGAATGGTGGTGCCGTTGACAGAAAAGAGTCCATTGATAAGGAAGGAGATTTTTAACAGGAAGAAACTTTATTCTTAAATTGAGCTTGAATAATGACAAGACAAGAAAAGGCAATTGGAGATGTTTTGTAGGCAGCTGAAGCTATAGGAGTTAAGTGCAAATGAGAAGTCAGACCTGGAGATGTAGATTTGGGAATTGATAACAAATTGATGATTGTTTCAAGCAGAGGGTGACTGTGTGTCCAATGCAGCAGAAAGTTTGCAGAGGATGAGGACTGAGGGAAAAAAAGTATGAGACCATTCCTAATCCCCAGCAGTTGAAATGAGGTCCCAGAGAAAATGCCTGGAGTTGAGGGATAGAGTAAAACACTCCATCTCCTAGCTCTGTGCATTTTCACTGACTGTACCCCATGCCTGAAATGTTCTCCCTCCTTGTCGCTGCCTCTGGGATTCCCCAATTTCCTTTGTATCTCACCTAAAATCTTGTTCAAGAAGACTTTCTCATCCCCCTTCAATGTTACCTCCAATTTATCCTATACATAACTTGTTTATGGGACTATCCTTTGCCTTTCTTTGCATTCCCAGCACTTAGCACAATGCCTTGCACATAGTAAGCTTTCTCTCTTTTTTTTATATCCAAACTACTTGGATGAGTGTTTCATAATAGCTGCCTCTTCTTTCTCCTTAACCCATACAATCAAGGAACAAATCAACAAGTCAAGTCAACAAGCATTTAAGTGCTTCCTGTGTTGCAGGCACTGTGCTGAGTGCTGGGGATTCAGGATAAATTGAAAATAATCAATGAAGAGAAGGCACTAGGATAAAGAGGGATTGGGAAACAGTCCCCCCTGTAGAAGGCAGGATTTTTACCTGGGACTTGAAGAAAGCCAGGGAAACCAGGAGGTAGAGATAAAGGGAGAGAGTGTTCTATGTATGGAGGATAGCCAGTGAAAATGCCCAAGGCAGTCCTGTGCTAGGAACAGCAAGGAGACTTATGTCTGCTTGGTAGAGTACAGGGTGGAAGTGGTATGAGGTGTAAGACTAGAAAAGTGGTGAGGGAGAAAGATTATGCAGAACTTTGAATGGCAAAGGATTTTACATTTGATCCTTGAGGTGACAGGGAATCATTGGAGTTTGAAAGTGTACGAGAGTGTGTGTGTGCGTATGTGTGTGATACATATAACATGGTCAGATTTCTGCTTTAGGGAGATCATTTTGGCAGATGAGGGGAGAATGAGAATGAGGAAAGACTTGGGGAAGGGAGACCAACCAGCAAGGTATTTCCATAGTTCAGGTGTGAGGTGATCAGGGTCTGCACTAGGGTGGTGGCAGTGTCAGAAGAGAAAAGGGGGGCATATTCCAGAGATGTTACAACAGATTGGATGAGGAATAGAAAATTGTGTATAAATACTTAGGCAGGTAACTAGGAGGAAGATGTTACTCTCAACAGTAATAAAGAAGTTGAGAAAAGGGGAGAGATTTGGGGGAGAAGATAATAGGTTCAGTTTTGCATATGTTGAGCTTAAGTTGTCAATGGGGCATCAGTTTGAGATGTCCCATAAGCAGCTGGAGATATGAGACTGGAAGTCAGCAGGAGGTTAGGGTTGGACAAGTAGATTTGAAAATCAACAGCACAGAAATGATAACTGAAGTCATGGGAACTGATGATTATCACCAAATAAAATAGTATAAAAAGACAAGAGGCCTCAGGACAGGACCCTGAGGGACAACCACAGTTAGCTGGATGAAGATTCAACAAAGGAGGCTAAGAAGTAGTCAGTCAGATGGAGGGGAAGAGAGCCAGGATAGAGTAGTGAAGGATGGAGATAAAGAAGAGGCTATTAGACATGCCAATTAAAAGTGAACAGTTTAGTTGAATGATGAAGTTGGAAGCCAAACTTCAGAGTTAAGAAGAGAGTAAGAAAAAAGGAAGCTGAAGCATATACTGGAGACCGACTGAGGTCATAGGGAACCACTGTAGTTTGAGAGAGAGAGAGAGAGAGAGAGAGAGAGAGAGAGAGAGAGAGAGAGAGAGAGAGAGAGAGAGAGAGAGAGAGAGAGAGTCAGAGATGTACTTTAGGGAGATCTCTTTGGTAGTTAAGTGAAGGATGGAATTGAGTGGAGTGGGAAGAGACTTGGGTGAGGGAAAACCATCAGCAGGGTATTTCAATAGTCAAATCTATTTATCCATACCTATCTGTGTGTATATAAGTATGTATATATATCCATTTATATGTGTGTACATACATATATACACATACAATATACAGATAAGTAGATCTGACTACTGAAATGTGTGTATATACAAACATGTATGAGCACACATACACACATATTCTTCCTAAGTTTACCCACAAAGGGCAGAATATGGGGCCATAACAGGGATGAAGTGAGGTTTTCTGAGGACTAGGGAAATATGGGCATGTTTTTAGGCAAAAAGAAAGCTGCCAGCAAAGAGAGAACTTGAAAATAGGTGAGACATGTATAATTGGGATCATATTGTTTGCTTTTTCAATGGGTGAGGGAGAGAGTGGAGGAAGAAAATTTGGAACTCAAACTTTTAAAAAGTAAATGTTAAAATATATATATATATATATATATATATATATATATATATATATACATACACACACACACACATATATATACATATATATATATTTTTTTTTAAAGAAAGACAGGCAGCTAGGCAGAGCAGTGGGCAGAGCACCGGCCCTGGGGTCAAGAGGGCCTGAGTTCAAATCCGACCTCAGAACACTTGACAGTAGCTGTGTGACCCTGGGCAAGTCACTTAACCCCGATTGCCTCACCAAAAAAAAGAAAGAAAACAAGTGAGAGAGGGGGGATGATGGAGTCAAGAAGAGTGAAGTCTGAAGGAAAAACAACTGGGAGATGGGTTTTTCAACCTCAGGAACTCCCAAAGGCTTTGCACGACTTTGGGGGCCGGGGGATGAAGCGCTCACACCGAGATATCACGGACCGCGTGAATGCCACCATTACTCGCGGCCCCCAAGCACGGCTCTTCCTCCTCGTGGTCACTGCCCGGGGTCACACGGTGGGTCTGGGCTGGAACCCGGGTCTCCTGACTCCCAATTTGGGGTCAGAGCCTGCCCTCAAGGAGCTTAGCGCCTGATGCGAATACAGACCCCGACCGAGCCCCATCCCCTCACCTGAGCCGGCCGAGGCCCGGGCCTCACCATCTCTCGGGTCCTGAGGCGTCCATCGACCCTCCGGCCAGAAGCCAGGCGGTTGATCGAGTTAACAGCCATAGGAACCGTGACCCTCTCGGGCCGCCCTCCTTTGCTCCTCGGGCTTCCGCTTCCGTTTTGGTTCCCGCCGAACGCGGCGCTGCGATTTTCTGCGATCGACCAATCGGGTCTTCTCCCCTCCCCCGCGGCTTCTGCGCAGGCGTGAATCTGGGGGGGCATGCTCAGTTAGCCTCCCCCCCGGAAGTTACTTCCGCCAGGAGCTGAGGTAAGTGGGAAGTGCACTGGTTACGGATGAGGTTTTCTCTGAGCCGGATTGAGTAAAGTGGGATCGAGGTGCCGGAAGGAAGGAAATTGTCACAGGCCACAGGAGGCGGCCATTGGGGACATGGATTCGAATCCTGTATCTATGAACTTTTTCCTCTATGGGCCTGTTTCTTTTCTGCAAAATTCTGCAAAATGAGGGTGCTGGACTCAATGAAATCGAAGATTCCTTCTTTCCAGCCCCAAATTGATTTTCTGATTGAATTAACTCTCCCTGCCAGGAAACCATCTACCTTGCTTTTCGTAACCCCTCACCTGCGACCCCTTTCCCCATTATCAAATGAAGTGACGTAGGCAAAGCACGTGACAAACCTTAAAGCGCGATGTAAATGTTTGTCATCTCTGTGTATGACCGACCCTCCCAGGACCCAGACTTCCCTTGGACTGGCGTTCAGGGCTCTGTGCAGCCCAACACTGTCATAACTTTTCTAGCCTTGTCTTCCGTTGCTCACTCTATCCACTAGACCCAAACCCAGGTCTTTCTGGCTTAGAGACCGAAATTGTCTTTCCACTACAACTCTCATATGTTCTTGTTGACTCTCATATGATTTATGGGATAACGGTGGATACAGTCCTGGACTTGGAATCAGTAAGACCTGAGTTCAAATCTTGTATCAGACACTACTTAGCTTTGTGACTTTGGGAAAGTCACTTAACCTCAGTCTGCCTCTGTTCCTTTCTCGGTAGAATGGGTGGGGAGAGATAGCACCTATCTTTCTGGGTTGTTGTGTGGATCAGATGAGATAAGATTTATAAAGAATTTTTGCAAATCTTAGAGCACTTTTTAAATGCTAGCTTTTAGCATATGCAAGTATTAACTCCATTTCCCAGATGAGAGAATTCAGATTCGGAGAGATTAAGTGATTTACTTAGTGATTTTACAGTCACACAGTTACTACCTGGATGAATTGTAGAGAATGAAAACTGCAAAATAAGTTTAAAGACATTTTTTCCTCTGTTCTTATACTTCATCTCTGCAGTGTTTGAAACTGTTTACCGTGCCCTCCTGCATACCCTTTCTTCCCAGGGTTTTAAGGACCCTGCTTTCTTGTTTCTACCAGTAGCACTGATCCCTTTATCTTTTTTGTAAGTTCATTATCCATGTTCCCTTATGCATGGGTGTAGGGCACTCAGTCCTAGACTCTCTTAGGAGTCTCCTACTGAGAGCTCTGTAGTATCTCTATAGTCTGAGTTCCCATGAATGCAGCTATTATTTCTATGCAGATGACTCCCAAGTATTTATACACATCTCCAGCTCTAATCTCTAACCTCTTCTTTAAAAAAAAAATATGGTTTCACTGGGTCAAAGGATATGACTTTTGGGGCTTTGTTCAAAATTACTTTCCAGAATAGTAGTACCGATTTACAGCTACCCAAACAGTGTATCAAGTTACTTGTTTTCCTCTAGCTGCTGCAACACTGGTCATTTTCTTTTTTTGCTAATATTACCAATCTGTGGGTGTGAGATAGTCTGTCAAAGTTACCTTAATTTATATTTCTCTAATTATTAGTGACTTGGAGAATTTTTTAATATAACTATAGATAGCCTGGATTTCTTAGAAAATTGCCAGTTCATATTCTTGTTGGAGGAATTGTCTCTAATTCTTACATTTTTTTTTAATGAGGTAATTAGGGGTTAAGTGACTTGCCCAGAGTCACACAGCTAGGAAGTATTATGTGTCTGAGGCAGATTTGAACTCAGGTCCTCCTGACTCCAGGGCTGGTGCACTATCCACTGTGCCACCTTGCTGCCCCTAATTCTTATAAATTTTAATCAGTTCCTTATAATCTTGGAAATGAGACCTTTAACAAACTTCCTGCCAAGGTTTTTCCTACTTTTTCCTTTCTAATCTTAGCTGCATTGGGCCTATTTTTTATTAAAGTAAAAACTTTTTAATTTTATGTAATCAAAATTGTCCATTTTTTATCTGCTGTGACCCTTTTAAATCTCCTTTTTGGTCAGAAACTCTTCCCCATTCATAGATTTGCAGGGTAATTTCTTATTCTTCCAATTTGTCTATGGTGTGACCTTTTATATCTAGGTTACATATACATTTGGGTATCTTGGCACATGAGAGGAGGTGTTGGTCTATACCTCTTTAGTGCGGCTTAAAAAATCTCATTCACAGGGGCAGATAGGTGGTGTAGTGTATAAAGCACAGGCCCTGGATTCAGGAGGACCTGAGTTCAAATGTGACCTCAGACACATAACACTTACTAGTTGTGTGACCCTGGGAAAGTCACTAGACTTTGCCTGGACCAAAAAGAAAAAAATCTCATTCACTCTTTTGGGCACCCTGCCGTCACATTGTTGACTTTTCAGGACACTGACAACCCCAATTTTTTTTTTCCCAAACTGCTATCTAATCATACCTTCCTGCCTTGTGAAGGTGATGTTTTGTGACCAAGATACAAGTTGACATTCATCGTTATTAAATTTCAGTTTATTAGATTCAACCCAGTGCTCTAGACTCTAAAGATTTGGACCCTGACTGTCATCCAGTGTCGTAGCTCTTCTTCTCAGCTTTTTATCATCTACAGATTTAATAAATATGTCATCTTTGCCTTTTTTCAAATCATTAAGATAAAAATGTTAAACAGTAGAGGGCCAAATACAGGCCCCCTGTGGGATACTACCATGGACCTCCTGCCAAGATGACATTCAGCCAGTTCTGAATCCATCTAATTATCATCTGGCCCACATTCCTCCAGCTTTTCTACAAGATGTATGGGCTAATAAAATTGTCAACATTATACATAATGGAGAAGTAATAAAATGAGAAGATAAGTTAAAAATTGTGTTTGAATGTGAAAAACAAACACTTGTCATTTATGTCATGCTGATACAACTTAATAAAAATCATGCATATCATTACTGGTGTTAAATAAACATTCCCTCTTTGAAATTTAACATTTTTACTTGTCTCAATATTTTTCCAGTCCTGACCTTATTATCTATTTGTAGACCTGGTCAAAGCAATGAGAGAATACTAGTTCTCACATCAATATTAGTGTTCTGAGAACTTCTTAAATATAAACACACACACAAATTTGTAGCTAGCGTGTTTGCTTAATTGTTTATTAGCATACCAGTTGTACAAGAAAATTGACATTGGATGTTGTATGGGGTGCAGTCATTCTGAAGCACAATTATCTCTATCTTCCTTCCTTTAAAATTGCTGGAGTGCATTTTTATTCCAGCCTTACCCTGGGATTTTGGGTAAAGTCATTCACCTTGATTAAACCATCAGGACCGATTCTGTTTGGGCCAAAAATATATTCTTAGTTAATTCATTTAATAGACTCATTATTTTATCAAGAAGCATAACATATGAAATACTTCCTCATTTCAACATGATTCCTATAGCCTTCTTATTTCTAATCCTCTAACACCTTTTATTTTTTCCACTTCTGTTTTTCCTTTGCACATCTTACTCTTCCTATTTCTTTGTTCTCCATGATATCCCCTATTTTTACACCAACACTGTAATTTACTATGTTCTGTCATGAATCAAAGTCCTGCTACAATCACTTTCTCATTATTCTTCCACTCAGCTTATGAAAATTTACTTACACTTCCTGTTCAATGTAGTTCAGCATTCGACTGACGTGGGATGCTGAAATCTCCCCATCCACTTCAGCAATATATGTGTAAAGAAACTGAAAAGTGCTAAAAGGGATTCGGGGAGGTCCGCCATCATGTTCAGATGATAAAACTTCACATACAATCTTGAGGGTTTTGGCTATGGTCTATTAAAAGGAAGATAAAAATAGGTGGTTAGATTCTTGAGGCCCGCTTAAACAGGAGAAAGTTGATGACAAACAGTATCACCTGAATCAATCAAATGGTATGGGAATGACATCACATTCTTGAACAGAAATTCTTAACCTTTTTTTTCTGTTATGGATCCTTTTGACTTGTGAACCCTGTGGACCTCTTCTTAGAATAATATATTTAAATAAATAAAATAAAAAACATAAGCTCACAAAGGAAATGAATTATATTGAAATAAAGTTATCGATTTCTTTTTAAAGTTCACAGATCCCAAGTTAGGAACTTCTTTTCTAGAGGGATTATAATCCTTATATTTGAAATAGTTTCATCCTATCTCAAAATATTTAATATCTATCATATGCTTCTTTTCTTCATTGGCATTCTGGAAATGAAGCTTATAATTACATATTATAATTAAATTTTATTGTAATTACATTTCCTATATTTTAAAAGCATACCCTAGGTCCTGTCACTAAATCAGTTATTAGTGTACCAGTTACATAAGAAAAAGATGATAGATACCCTTCTGTATTACCAAGATTCAATCACAAGCAGTAGGAGAGGCAGCCCAGTGAAAAATAGTCCATTAGTACTTCAGACTTAGACAAGCATTACAATGAGTTGGTTTCAGAATTAAATAGGAGGGAGAGAGAGTTGGCTAGAGAGCACCTGGAAGATCACAGTGTTTTCACTGATCCCAAGCTCGTTCCTCATACAAAACCAGCTTTTTTTTTTTAAACACCAATATTCTTTTGATGATGCTACATGGCTGAATATATGAATACTATGGTCTCAGATGTCTTAAAGTTGGGAATAATCTAAAGGCAAATGAAGAGAGGTGTTCGGTTTAAGTAGACTGCAGCACATTATCAAATGATTTTTGTGCAAGGAGTGTTATAAAAGGCAACACACCAAGGCAATGTGTGACCATAAAAGGTGGGTGATATGGTGAGAAAGAAGACTAGCAGATTAAATGTTCACTGGTAGGGAGAAAATTGTAAGACTTGGAAGATGACTTCCAACACCTTGGGCAGGTCTCTGGATAATTTATGAAAGGATATAGACAGGAGTCACAGAATGAGGAGGCAAGCATGGAGTTGCCATCTACCCTGATCTATCAGAGCATCCTCTTTGCCCAGGGGAGGGAAGGGATGAACTTCTCCTTGACTTTCCAGTACAATGCATTCTTGCTCCTTTCTCTTTTAGCTTAGCCCAAGAGATACAGGGGAAGGGAACAAACATTTAATAAGTGCCAACTGTGAACCAGGTACAATTAAGTGCTTTATAAGTATTATTTCATTTGTCATACAGCTGAACCAGTATTCTGTAAAGGATACTCAGGAAGGTCACTGTTGAGTCAGCTATGACAGAAAACTGAAGGGGAAGGGTTACTTTTCTGGGGATAAGTGCTAACATATAAATAATGCTGAAATCTAGGACACAATACATTCTGTTGGGCATACTATGTAGTAATTTAGTGATAGTCTCTAGAAGCCAGTAGTTTCTTCAGTATTCTTAGTAAATACAGGCTCTGAATTTAAATGCTATACTGTGAGATATTGTGCCAAGTTGTGTGACTGAGGGGAGAAACCAAATAGAAAATGAATGATTTTTCCAGCAGTTTGAATAAAAGGTTGTCATATCAGAGTAAAACTTTTTTCTTAAAGAAAATTTAAGAGATTCATTCAGAGTTGAGACTGCTCCTATTGATATATTTTTTCAGACAAACCTAGCTTTTGACATATGAATAGTCTCAGAATTTTACAAATGAGAACTGTTACTAAAGCAAGAGTTATGAAACAATGGGAGCAGGGGCGGAAACATCATAAGAAAATATGTCAAAAGGATTGCTTATCCTGGTCTAGTAAATATGGCTAATGCACACTGTAATACCTTATTAAAACAGGTGTGCCGATGAACACTTCCCACAATCTAGGGACAAGTGAAATATTAGCAGTACTGGGTGACCAACCGGATAACAGGTTGAATAAGAGTGAAGCTGATAAAATGTTATAATTGTCCAGAGGACTGGCACCATTGCCCTTTAAGTATGCTGTTCTCGGGCTTCTGAAATGATGTAAGCTCTTTTGGATGGGGAAGTATGAAGATGGATGAAAGCTTAGTAGGAGGGCAGAGGATGAAGAGCTGTGGGCATGGTAGATCAAGATGACAGCAGGTGTGATTAAATCTGAATGAATGTGAGGTAACCTTGATTGTGTCATTTCCTTAATCATTTTGCTAGCTGCTTTTCTCAGTTACTTTTAAGCTCACCTAATCTTTTGTTTTTGTCCAGTCGTACCACTCTTAATGGCTGTCTTCAAGCCATTCTTTCCACCATTACACACTAAAACTCATTTTCGTCATTCAAACAATTCCTTGAAATGTGCAAGGTCTAGTGTAGTGCCTTGCATATAATACGTGCTCAATGAATGTTTGTTAAATGAATGATGAATGGAAGAAAGACTTTTTTTTTTAGAAGACTTCTTGTACTGAAGCTTTCCTAGAAGTAGGTTTCTCACAGCCCATCAATACAAAATGCATGTGTGTGTGTGTGTGTGTGTGTGTGTGTGTGTGTGTGTTGTGTGTGTAAAATGCAATTTATTGCTGCCTCCCTCAGAGAAGTAGTCTCTCAGAGCAGATTGTGGACACAGTCTCCAGTCCAGGAAAGCAGTGCATTGGGGTCTCCCAAAGGGCCAGGGTTATAGGTTCAGGTCCCAAATACCTTCCAACTATTGGGGTTAAGTGACCAGGGCCACACAGCTGGTAAGTATCTGAGGTCAGATTTGAACTCAGGTCCTCCTGACTCCAGGGCTGGTGCCCTACCCACTGCACCACCTAGGCTAGCAACACCAGGTACCTAGAGGGGATCCCTGGAAGAATAGCTAAAGAAACAAACAAAAGATAAAGAGGTACCATGATATCAGGAAGGTGATGTCATGCCTTTGCAAGTGAGTTGGATTTAAGTGAGGCAGAGCTGTGCAAAGCCACCTCTTACCTCAGGAACCATATGGGTCCAGTAGCAAGATATAGATCAAGAAGACTGGAGATAGCCCAGGATGCAGTAGGAGACCTTGGCCTTTTTAAGCTAAGGTCTTCCCCAGGTCTCAGTCTGTCTGAGGCAACACCCACTGAGTGATTAAGGCTAGGTAAGAAATGAGGCAAATAATGGCCTCTTTTACTTAGTCAAAAACAAAACAAAAAATCAATATGGGAGGGGAAGACCTTCAGGGTTCCTGGCCAAAACAGAAACAATTGCTATTTACATTCACTTTGAGCCATCAGAACCCAATAATGACCCAGTGAGGCTTGGGCTGTGGCCTATTGTTGGCCAATCACTGAGGACCAGAGTGATTTGAGTTTAAGGCATGGTCCTTAAAAAGAAATCTAGCCCGTAAACCCCAAGATATCTTGCAAGGTTTCAGCAATCAAAATTTATATACCTTTGGGCAGAGCACCCACAGGTAAAAGTATGATTCCCTATGTGTAGAGAGGGAGATGAGGGAGAGAGAGAAGAAGGGAGGAAGGGAAGGAAGGAAGGAAGGAGTTGCATTGCCCAACTGGAACTGGCCAGGTGGGTCCCCAGTGAGGCAGCTACTACTACTCACAGGTTGTTTTTCGTCCTTCATTCTCCAAGAGGACCATGACATTAGGAGAGTGATGTCATGACTTGCAAGTAAGTTGGATTTAAGTGAGGCAGGACTATGAAAAGTCACCAGCCTCACTCTCTCCTCCTGAGCCATCTGGGTCCAATGGCACAATATAGATAAGGAGGACACAACAACCCTGAGAGGTCAGTGTTAATATAATCTCCATTTTACAGATAAGAAAACAGGCAAACAGAGGCTAAGTGACTTGCCCAGGATCATACAGCTAGTAAGTGAGTTCATATTTGAACTCAAATCTTCCTGACTCCAAGTCTGACACTCTACTATATCACCCTTAGTTGCCTCCAGAAAGAAACCTCGAAATGAAAACTCCTAGGAACATTATAACCAAAATCCAGAGCTTCCAGGTCAAAGGAAAAAAAATACTATCTATCAGCTGCTAGAAAGAAAAGTTTAAGTACTAAAGAACCATAGTCAGTATCACACAAGATTTAGCAGCTGCCACTCAAAGGAATGGTGAACATGGAACACAATATTCTAAAAGGAAAAAGTTATCTCAGCATGGTATGTTACATTCTCCAGACTGGCTGGCAATCTGATAGCTGTTGCAAGAACTGGTATGGGATGATTTTATAAACTAACTGTGCCACTGGACACATCATTTTTTATTCTTATAGTGCCAATGATAATGGATGAACTGTTGAGACAACCTGGTCCCAGAAGCATCATTGAAAAGCCTAGCACGTGGTAAACACTCAAATACTTTAAAAAATTCATTCATTTCATGGCACAGGAACATAAGAGCTCATGGATTTAGAGATGGAAGGAACAACAGAGATCATCAAAATCAACTACTTCATTGCACATGAGGAAACTGAGACTCAAAAAGGTTGTGACTTGTGTAGGTTACATAGTTTTTAAATATCTGAAGCAAGATTTGAATCCAGGTCTTCCTGATTCCAAGTCCAACTTTATATTTTATATACTTAGCCATATATATGTATGTATATATATGTATAGATACACATATATACAGATACATACATACACACATCCATCCATCTATCTATCCATCTATCCATCCATCTATCTACCTATATCCCAGTGCAGCTATGCTTGGTTTTAAGGTACCATTAAAGGACATGTTGAATCTTGGTTGACTACTTTCAGTTTCCAAAATGGTGGCCTCTCTCCTCTTTCTGGTTGCTGAGCACAGAAACAAGCTAGAAATAGAAGCCAGAGTACCTGGGATAAATCAGATTTCAGCAGCATCCCCTGGTTGGAAGATGGAAAACTGACAGTATATACAGAGAATATTATACCTCCTTTGTCTTCCTTTCCTCTCCTCTCCCTTCCCCACCTCCCCATACCTTCCTGGCATCACTCCAGAGAGGGAAATCCCTCCTCCATCCCCCCAAAAAATAAAAGACTAAAGGTAACTTACAACTCCAAGAGAACTGCAAGCCAGAGCTAAAAACTTGAGCCATTCAATCTCTTCAGTGAAGCGACCCACATTCATCACACTGTTAAATAGATCTGTTGGGAGACTCAGCACCTTCCACATCTGGGCCAATTCATTAGCATGTATGATCAGCCTTCCAGCCACCTGTGGGAAAGAACAACATATACAGAGAATGAGGCAGGTTTCCAAGTCTAAGATTCATTGGCTTGGGGACCTGCCCCCACCCCACTCCCCAGCTGTCTCCCTGCCTTTCATCAACTTGGGCATTCAGAGATGGTAGCCGGAGCCTCTGTATATCAGGAAAGAAGGAAGGAAATCCCCTACTGGACCTTAGCTTTATCCAATGAAGAGAAAGCTGGGTGATGACTCAATATTGGTGTTTAGACGTTAGAAAATGGTTTGAAGTTTTTCTCCATCTCAGATGACAGAAGGGAGATGGCTTAGCAACAAGAACTTCCTAAAAGGATGTGAAATCTTGGACTAGGTCACCAAGGTGGGGAGGAGTGAACTCTCTTAGTGGTCATCAGTCATCCATTATTTATCAGGGATGATACAAGTGGGCTTGAGAGCTCACATGCAAAAGATAGTCACCTGAAAGACAACTTGGAAACTGCTTGAGAATCTGTTAAAATAACACCTCATAGATACCAGCACCCCCTGGAGAATATTGGGGTATCTTTTTACTAAATGGCTTCTGAGTATGTACCCTTGTGTAGCAGGATAACATGAAGGGACAGGGTGGGAATGTTTTCTCTCCTGCAGGCATATGGGCTACTTCACCAGCACAGGTTTAAAGAAGCCTTTTTGACCTCTAGGTCAGTGAATCAGGCTTTTTGGTTCTGAGTTAGTGGGTGTCTGCAAAGCTGCTAAGGATTCAGAAGGGGTAGCTTCACATGTGATAGTGAGACACCTTGGGAGCGGAGGCTCTGTTGTGGTCTGTAAATAGAGAAGGTAGTGCTTTTAGACAATTGCCATACCACATACAATTAAACTGTATTCTCAAATTAAGTTACTGTGACATTCTTGGTCAAAGAGAACTAAATTGTCATACATTAAGACCTTACTTACCTGATGTGGATGATGAACAAAACATTATATTTGGATGCATTTTCTAGATAATTAAAGCTTAATACCTTTAAACACCACAACTTTTCCCAAATATTAATTATTTTAAAGGAAATTTTCTTAAATATATTACCTGCTTATCTTCTTAAATGGAACACATGTAACATTTTACTTTTTTTTTTATAACATTTCTATTTATTTTTTACATTCTGTTCTTTTTAAATTTTCAGTTCCAAATTCCCTCTCTCCCATCCATCTCCTCCCACACCCACTAAGAAGGCAAGCAACGTGATATCATCCCTTGATGACCGAGTTAACAGTTCTATATGTATCCAATTTGTTGCTAAGGCCTGTTGAGTTTACTTTCATAACATTATTGTCCTACACACCCTTCTCTCTTCTGACACTTTCACCACCTTGGGTTTGACCCTCACCACATCACATCTGGACTATTAAAATAGTCTGCTGGTTCTTCTCTCTGCTGTAAGTCTCTCCCCACTTCAGTCCACCCTCCATTCACCTCTCAAAATGATCTTCCTAAAGTGCAGATCTGGTTATGTCACCCCCCCTCTTAAACTCCAGTAGCTATTGCCCCTATGATCAAAAATAAAATACTCTTGCATTGAAATCCCTTTATAAGCTGTTCTCCCCCTTTTTCCAGTCTTCTTACAACATATTACTTTCCCTTCCCCCCACCCAACATATTCTGTGATTCAATGATTCTGGCTCTTGAACAAGATATTCCATCTCCTGACTTGACGCATTTTCAATGGCTGTTCCCCATACGTGGAATGCTCTCCTTTCTCATCTTCCCCTCTTGACTTCCCTGGTTTGTTTGTTTGTTTCTTTTTTTTCTTGTCTAGGCAATGGGGTTAAGCAACTGGCCCAGGGTCACACAGCTAGTGTTATGTGTCTGAGGCCGCCCTGGTTTCTTTCAAGTCCTAACTAAAATCCCACCTTCTACAGGAAGCCTTTCCTGAGTTTCCTTCATTCTAGTGCTTTCCCTCTGTTGATTATCTCTAATTTATCTTGTATAGCTTGTTTGCACGTAGTTGTTTATGGTGTATGTAGTTGTCTCTCCCATTAGACTGTGAGCTCCTTGACAGCAGCGACTGTCTTGTACCTTTCTGTCACCAGCATTTAGCACAGTGTCTGGCACATAGTAGGCATTTTGTGACTGTTTATTACCTATTATCTAAGACTGGTCAACTAAGAATCTTTAAACCTCTTAAATGAGGTTTCAAGGAAGGGAATAATATCTATACCTTTGGTGAAGGAGTTTTGTAACAAATACTCCTAGCACTATGACCTATGTTCCAGAGTCCTGAAGTTGCTAGAGTATGACTTCTGGATAGAGGATTTTTTTTTCTTTTTTTCCTTTTGTAAAATTATTTTTAACATTTGACATTCATTTTTAAAAATTCTGAGTTCTATCCACTGTGCCACCTCGCTGCATTTCTCTAATCAGTAGTGATTTAGAACATTTTTTCAGCTGACTATTGATAGCTTTTTCCTTCAAAGGCAGCTAGGTGGTACACAGGATAGAGGCCTGGGCCCCAAATCAGAAAGACCTGAATTCATATCTGGCCTCAGACACTTCCTGAGCCTGAACAAATCACTTTACCCTGTTTGTTTCAGTTTCCTCATTTGTAAAATAAGCTGAAGAAGGAAGTGGCAAACCAGTCCAGTCTGCCAAGAAACCCCCAAATGGGTTTTCTTTGTCACAGAGAGTTGAACACGACTGAAAAACAATTGATAGCTTTGAATCTTCTTCTGAAAATTGCTTTCTTATATCTTTTGACCGTTTTTCCATTGGGGAATGAATCTTATTTTTATAAATATGGCTCAGTTCCCTATACATTTGAGAAATGAGGCCTTTATCAGAGAAATTTGCTATAAAATTCACTCCCCCTCCCCAGTTTCCTGCTTTCCTTCTACTTTTGGCTGTATTGTTTTGTTTGTGCAAAAACTTTAATTTCATGTAGTCAAAATTATCTGTTTTGCTTCCTGTGATCCTTTCTATATCTTGCTGGGTCACAGATTCTTCCCTTATCCATAGATCTGACAGGTACATTTTTTCCACATTCCCCTCGTTCACTCATATTATCACCCTTTATATCTAAGTCATTTATCTGCTTTGATGTTATTTTGGTATATGGTGTGAGATGTCGGTCTATGACTAGTTTCTGCCAAGCTGCTTTCCAGTTTTCCCAGCAATTTCTGTCAAATGGTGAGTTGGTGCTCCCCAAAATTGTATCTTTGGGTTTGTAAAACACTAGATTACTATGGTTATTTACTACTATGTATTGTGTACCTAATCTATTTGGATAGTGGAATGTTAATAATAATGACAATAATAATAACAATGATGAGGACAACAACAATAATAGCTAACACTTATATAGCCCTTGGTATGTACCAGGCATTGTGCTAAGTATTGTACAATTATCAATTCATTGATCATCATGACAATCCTGGGAGGTAGTGCTACTACTAACCTCGTGTCACAGAGGAGGAAACAGGAGCAAACAGAGGTTGAATCTTGACCAGGGTCACATAGCTAATAAATGTCCGAGGCTGGATTTGAACTCAGGTCTCCCTGACTCCAAGCTTAGTGCTCTAACCGCTGCATTACATACCCCCCTCAACAAGAAATATAGAAATTAAACTCTTTCCACTCCCAAATAATTTTTTAACCAAAACTTTACAGTTTATGAATTTATTCCTTACCCATTTTCCAGAAGGATTTGAGATGGCAACCTTTTCCTGTCTCTTTTCACTTTCTAAAATACTGTCACATTTGCATCTCGTTTCATCCTAATGACATCCCTATGAGGGAGATCAGTCAGTCCTGAGTACTACTGTTCGATGAACTGGGAAACCAAATCACAGGGAAGCAAGGTGCAAAGTGAGTTATCCAAGGTCATTTAGCTATAGTTAGTGGTAGAGCTAGGATCAGCACCTAGATTTAGATGTTCCATTTCCTCAGAAAGGCTTATTTTCTAAGAAATCCCCAGGGATCACACGGTGAAGGTGTTCAGGAGTGTACCAATACCTTGGTGTACCAATTCTCAAAAAACAATGAATAGGAGAACTTTGAGACTGGAAGGATTCCCAGAAGCCCTCTAGGCCATCCTGTGCCTGAATAGGAGGTCCCCTTTATAACACAGTTGACAAGTTATCTTCTAGCTTTAGCTTAAGTATCTCTAACGAGAAAGCACCTACTACTTCCCAAGGGTGGCCCAATCTACTTTTGGAATGCTCTAATTGTTAGGAAGTCTTTCCTGAAAGCAAGCCTCAATCTGCCTCTCTGCAGCTTTACATTATCCCTAGTTCTGCTCCCTGAGGCCTAACAGATGGTAAGGCTAATAGTACCTCTTCAGATGATAGCCCTATACACACTTGAAAGGGTAGTTGTTATATCCTTCTCTGTCTTCTCTTGTCTAGGCTAAATATCCCTAGTTTTTTCAAATAATCCTCATATGGCATGAGCTCAAGGCCATCACCTTTGATCTCATCATCACCCACAAGTATTCCACTTCCATGTTTATGAACTCTACAATCCTTTTATCTGATCTTAATCTCTTTTTATTTCATCTTTCCTTCTGCCTTAAGACTCCTCACCCCGTTCTCTGTCCTCACCACAACCTCTAATCCCTCCACTTCTCAGTTCTTTCCGAGGCCATTGCCCCTGCCCTGGCCATATTCTCCTCTCTTCCCCATCCTGACTCCTTGGTAAATCAGTTTAACTCTATACTATCCTCTTCTGGAGCCCCTTGCCCCCTTATCCTATGTTGATCTTTCCCTGCCAAGCCTCAGTCTCTCACCATCTACTGCTTATGCTGCTATTCACCTGCTGCTGGGAAAACAAACAAACAAACTAGAGAAAATTGTGAAACCAAGTTGCCTGGGTCCTGTACAGATTTTATGTTAAATAATCCCAATTAAATTCTCACTGTGGCAAGACAATCCTTTTATACTTCCCTAATTATCTCATATTCCCATTCACCATAATGGCTTTTCCAAACCTTATCATCTTTCTTAGAATCTCTCATTCTTCCTCCTCCTTACACCTTCTTAGCTGAGAACTTTGCCTCATATTTCGCTGGAAAAATTGGGGCCATATGCCAAGATTTAAGAGCTCCCTCATTTCCTCCTTACCTCACTTCACTCATATGCCTTCCCCCACCACCTTCCCTTTCACACTCTTCTCATACAAAGATGTGGTCCTTCTCCTTGGCAAGGCAAACCCCTCTACCATATACAAGTGTTTCATTTCATCCCATCTTCTCAGTTGATCATCCCCACTCTTTTCATTAATCATCAATCTCTCCTTGAATACTGGCTGTTCCCCTGATGCCTACAAATATGCCTATATCTCCCCTATCTCAAAAAAATCTTTTGCTTGATCTGTCTAGCACTGCTAGCTATCATTCTATAGCTGTCCTCCCATTTGTGGGTAAACTCCTAGAGAAGGTGTCTACACTTCTTTTCCTATCACTCTCTTCTCAGCTCTCTGTAGTCTGGCTTCCGACCTCATCATTTAACTGGAACTGCTTTCTCCAGATGCCAAATCTAATAGCTTTTTCTCAATCCTCATATCCTTCTAGACCTCTGTAGATTTTGATACTGTCAATCACTCCTTCTTCTTGGTATTGTCTTCTATCTAGGTTTTTATGACACCATTTTCTCCTGGTTCTTTTCCTACCTATCTGACCACTACTCAGTTTCCTTTGCTAGATCTTTATTTCAACTCCAAATGTCCATGTGGACTATTTGTGCCTGACTAGTGGCAGAGCCTTCCAGGCTCACATTGATCTGATCAGCCACAGTCGGACACACTGTACCTTGACCCCAACATAGTGATGTCATTTTGGTCCTCTTGGAAAATGGACCATAACCAACTCAGTTTTCTTTTCTAGATCTTCATCTAGGTCATGCTCACTAATGGTAGATATCCCTTGAGATTCTGTCCTAGTCCTCTTCTCTTTTCCTTTTATGCTATTTTTCTTGGTGATTTCATCAGCCTCCATGAATTCAGTTATCATCTATATTCCCAGATCTGTTTATCTAGCTCTGACTTCTCTTCTGACTTCCACTCTCACGTTTCCAACTATCTATTAGACATCTCAAACTCGATGTCCCATAGACATCCTAAACATGTCTAAATCAGAACTTGTTCTCTTTCTCCCCAGACTCTGCTGTCTTCTGAACTTCAGTCACTATTCAGGGTACCAGCAGTCTCCTAGTCACCTTATCCTTGAGTCCTCCCTACTTCATTCAGTTCTCTTCTCCTTAACTATCAAAGTGATCTTCCTAAGCTCCAGTGACTCCCTGCTGTTTCCAGGATCAAATATCAAATACTGTTTGGCCTTTAAAGCCTTTCATAACCTAGCCTTCTCCTGCTTTTATTCCTTTTCACCTCACTCCCTTTAATGTACTTTTTGATCCAGTGAACTGGTCTCCTTCCTGTTCCTCCTATAAGACACTTCATCTCATTACTCTGTGCATTTTCACTAAGTATCCTCCAGTCTAGAATTTTCCCCCTTCTCATTTTTGCCTCCTGGTTTTCCTGACTTCTTTGAAGTCTCAGTGAAAATCCCACCTTCTGGGGCAGCTAGGTGGCACACCAGTCCTGGTGTCAAGAGGACCTGAGTTCAAATCCAACCTCAGAGGTTTGGTACTTACTAACTGTGTGGCCTTGGGCAAGTCACTTAACCCCCATTGCCTCACCAAAAAAAAAAATCCCACTTTCTGCAAGAAAGCTTATCTGGTTCCTGTTAAGGCTAGTGCCTTCCCTATGAGATTATCTCCAATCTTCCCTGTACAAACTTGTTTCCTACATAGATGTTTGCATATTTTCTCTGCCATTAGATTATAAGCTCCTTGAGGACAGGGATTGTTTTTGCTTTTCTTTATATTGTTAAGTGCTTAACACAGTATCTGGCACATAGTAAGCACTAAAAAATGCTTTTTGACTTTACTTCATCCTATGTACATTTAATGTTCAAATGTCTTTATCAATGTCTTTTCTAAAATGTGGTATCTAGAACCTAATATGCTGCTCCAAATGAAGGCTGCCCAGAACAAAGTAAAGCAGGACCCTCACCTCTCAGGCCTTAGAAACAAATACCACCTCTCTTAATGCAGCCTGAGATCACACAAACATTTCTTGGCCACGCTATCACTTTGTGGATGCATGCTGAGCTTAAATTTACTAAAATCCCCAGATCTCTTTTTGTAAGGACTGCTGTCTAGCCATGACCACCCACATCTTTTACTTTTGGAGTGGATTTTCTGAGCTTGAGTGTAAGACTTTATCCCCATTAAAACTCATCATTTTAGATTTAGCCCTGTGCTGTAGCCTACTGAGATCTTTTCAGATCCTGCCTGGCATCTAGTATGTTAAGTATTCCTTCTAGTTTTGTGCCATTTTACAGATTTGATAAGGATATAAACTATTACTTTATGGAAGGCATAGATTAAAAAGTCCAACATCACACAAGGCTAAACAAGGCCACATCCATGGGGCACTCAACTAAAGACTGTTTTCTGAGTTGACGTATAGTCTTTTGATCTAGCAGTGCAACTGGGTCCTGAATCCTCCTAATTGTACAATCGACTAATTTTTATCTCACCGTTTGGTCAAGAAGAATATGAGAATCTGTCAAAACTTTTGGTAAAATATATGAAACATTTCCAATTACTCTAGTAATCTCAAACTACGTCTTTGAATCACTGCTTCCTTTTCTAGATGTTCACTCACCATCTCTTTATCATGATCTAGAATTTTGCTAGACATCATAGTCAAGTTCACTGAGTTTACAGACCCCTCTGTCTTCCCTTTTTTTTTTTGAAAAGGAGGCTAGCATTTGCCCTGCTTCAGTTCTGTGACCCCCAGTCTCCTTTTCCATGATCTTTCATAAGCCTCCAACAGTGACTTCCATTAAGATAGACCAATTCTTTAAGTACTCTGAAATGTAGTTCATCTGGGTCTGGTGATTTGGATTCTTCTGCATGAGAGATGGGCTCCTTTACTGTTTCCCTATTTATTTATCTTGGTATCTACTCCCATATTAGCCATTTTATTCTCTTAATTCAAGTCCAAAAATAATTTCCCTTTTCTCTAGAGAAAACAAGCAAAGTAAGAGTAGAACAATCCTGCTGTCTGTCATCTATTATTTAATTCAACAAACATTATGCACATATGTGTTCAAGGCATTGGGGATACAAAAGATATAAATTAAATAGGTCCTGGCATCAAAGAGCTTACTTACATTCCCACTCCCCCTCAGAAGGATTTCTATTTCTTTCCCTTCCCTTTCCCTATGTGTAGTTTTTTTAAAAAGCACCCCTTTATGTTGTCTTCAGTTTTTCCCTACTAGCCTCAGCTTATTTGAACAATAATGCTCTTCATTAATGACCTTGCTGTTGTTGAACTGTGTCATGCTTTTGTGGCCATATTCTGTTACCTACCCTCATTTCCATCTTCTATGTGTGCCTTTTGGAAATCTAAGTTGGTTGACATTGGGGAGTTCTCTTTGCATTCACATCAGACCCTTTAGAGAACTCTCCCTTTTCCTCAACAGAATTGTTTTTTCTCTGTCTTCACAGAATTTCAATCTTGAGAACTTGCCATTTTCCTGAGCTGACTTCCCCTTTAGGGTTTTAGTCCATGAGATACTGCCATCCTTTCTCTGAACTTTTTAAAATTTCTCTTTAAACTAGGGCTCCTGTAAGACTATACCTAGCTTTCTTTTCTACCAAGAAAATTTTAAGATGGAACTATTACTTTTCCCCATTAGTTGCTCCTTGATATGACTAGGATATGGATTATGATTTTCCCTCATTTTTTCCTCTACCTTTTGAACAATGAAATGATTATTATGGCAAGCCAAGAAAATATTAGCTGCTTTGCTGTGGGGCAGAAAGGGCCTCAGTTGATATCTAGATAATTGAAAGACCCTCCCCCCCTCCCCCATCTACTATACCATTTCTCTGTACCAGGCTTATGATCTGTTTCCCAAACTTATTTAATTCTTCTTTCTGCTCAGGTGGTTTGTAATGCATTCTAATGACAATATTTCTTTGGTTTTTGCACCCATTGTCTTCACTCAATTGATTTTTACCATGCTCCACCAATTTGCTTCCTAGATTTCCTCATAAGTATATCTTTATAATGTGTGTGTTCAGAGACCTAGGCAGTAATATGAATATTTTTTATACTTTTTTTTTTTTGCAGGAGTGGGAGGTAGAGCTTGTGGAGGAAGGAAACCTTAGTTGGATAAGCTCCTGGGCAAGCTAATTCAGTGACTTACATCATGGAAAAGTGCCCAGCCTGCTCTCACCTTGCTCATGAGCACCAATAGCTTGGAGCAGGACCATAGCACTACTGTGCATTATTTCTGTTTTTAACATTCCCATTTCTCAAAGCAAGATTTAGTCATAACTTATGGTCATGTATTTTAGAATTGTGATTAATTGGTCTGGCTGCTTGGACCCACATGGCTTTTAAATAGTCTATATATTTTCCTGCCTACTTCATCAGGGACCTCTTACCCGAGAATGCAGGATCTTTAGCAGTTCAGGTGTGAGTTCAGCCCAATTAGACAACGGGATTCGCTCAGTTCGCTCTCTCACTGGAGGAATCTCTCCACGGGACATAGCCCCAAAATAACTAAAATGAAAAAAGACAAGCGTTCTTTACTTCAGTGACTGATAGCTATGTTGAGGGGAAGAGAGGAGAGGCTTTTTTTCCCCCTTTCCTTTGTTTAATACATAGAAAGATAGGCTGACTCTCTGGACAGAGGAACTGAGCCAATGTTTGTTTAGAACTCAGTGGTGCAAAGGGATGTGATTTCAGCCAGCCTCACAGACTTTAAGATTTATTTTTGTTACTTGCAAGGGACTTTTCCCTGGAAAAAATTTCCTTATTGGTTAATCAAGGATCCAAAACTTCTGCTCTTCTATTTTATTTTTAGTACTTTCTTTGCCTCTCTATAAGTAATACTACAGAGGGAAGGAGAAACTGCTCAACCCTACCCTCTTTTTTTTTTTGCAGTTTTTTTTTTCTTTTTAGGCAATTGCCTAAATGCCCAGGGTCACACAGCTAGTAAGTGACACGTGTTTGATCTGAGGACGGATTTGAACTCAGGTCCACCTGACTTCAGGGCCGGTGCTCTATCCATCAACCCTACCCTGTTGAGGACCGAAGAAGAAAGAAATAAAGTTCTCGAATGAAGATACGCTACTAGCATAGAAATGGAGATTAATACTGGGCTAGAACAAACCCTGAGGGTACCTAGGGCCATGTTCCATTTAGGAAAGTCTCCCTTCCTCTACCTGTGTGTGTGTGTCTGTATGTCTCTCTGTGTATATGTACACTGGAATTCTTGCTTGCAATAAATTAAATATAAATGTTTTAGCAATTATTTTATGTTTCTATATCTTCTAAAGTACCCCAGGTATAGGAGTAAAAATTAATTGCTTTTAAAGTATTTTTCACTTTTTACATGTTAATAAAGTTCCATTCTCTTTTGTCATATTTAAACGGCACATTGATTTCCAGGGAAATCTTAGGGAGTTAAAATATATGATACAGTACCAAATCAAACTGGCTACAACAGAGGAAATTTCTGTTGTAAATGTCAGGGACAATAGGAAGAATGCAATTTATTTTATTATAGAATGGCATCACAGGCAAAATAAAATAGAATTTAAAGCTACTACACAGTATATAACAAATATTATCTGATTATGCCAGAGAAAATTTGTTTCCTAGAGCTAAAAGTTCTAGCCTCAGTGTAATATATCAATTTAGGTTGGGAAAACTGAACAGTATTTCTTACTGGCAGATGAAGCCTCTTGGGTAAATACTACTGGTTAATTTGTTTTATTTGTAAAAGCCTGGTGCCAACCCAGGAACATTAAGTCTACTTGAAGTACTTTGGGGGCAGTAGTCCAAAGATTCTGTAAGGCCTGAATTAAACCCTACACCTCCTCAGAGGTACCTTTACAACACCATCCTTCCCCCACTCCAAGCACATTTATACTCCTATACCTAGTTTACCCCCCACTCACAAATTATCCAATCCCCACAGCACCTGTCAGTCCCTCCTTATCTCTTACAAATATGTATCTGCAGCCTCTGGACTTTTCCTTCCATAATATGCTCTCATACCTCTCTCACCAAAATGAAACACAATAAAAACATCCTCATTAGGCATAAAAAACCAGTCAAAATGTTCCAGGAAACAAAATTCTCCCAATACACTCAAAACATTTACTACCAGACCCAGCCTCACACTTGAGTCTAAGAAGCATTTATTTCATAGTTGATTTTTTTGTCAAGCTATTTCCACAGCAGCTATTTTGTCTGACAAATTATTTGAGGTGCCTCTGGTGTCTCTGGAAGTAAGTATATGTTCATAGGATCATAGAATTTATAGATCACCTACAACCCAGTCTCCTTATTTTAAGATGAAAAAATTGAGACCTAGAGAGGTTAAGTGAATTTCCTAATGTCTCACAGGTAGTCAGAAAGAGTGTTAGGATTCAAACCCAGTTCCTTCATTTCCAGTCAGTGCTTTCTCAAGACCATCATGGTGTCTTAGAAGTGTGCCATTCCCGGCACGGTCTGGCTCAAGTCTAATCAGTTTTGATTAGGAGACATGTTGTATGGGTATGTGATATGGGGTCAGACCATGACAAAGAAATATCAAAACGAACAACAACAAAAAAACTCCAAAGCAAAACAAACAAAAATATTTCTCCTCCCTATCAAAAATTTCTCCACCTCTATCGAAAAGTGCCTTCTTGATTATAGTATGAGTTGCAGCTGAAGTGGAGAGAATAGCTAGCTGGGATAAGGGGAATATAGTGGAGTATTCTTTGCTTCTCCCACAATCAATTTTCTTGTTTTCCACAGACATTCAGAGTGATGAATACATTCTTCCTAACTATTCTTTCCTGGTGTATGACTGCTAGATGTAGCTGCTAGATACAGAGAATGAGTTCATGGTGAGAATGAAAGCCTTGTAAATAAGGGATCTCAACACTGACTGCTGTAAAGCTCAAGAAGCATTTCCATCCAAGTGTTATTCCTCCCTCTCCTCCTCTTCAAGAATGGACAGAAACTCATAGAGGTAGCCTGAACTTTTCCAAGGGAGAATGAAACACCACTGGTGGCCTGAGCCTTTGGACACTACCTCATAGCCTGGCATCTGGGAGATATGCCAGGCTGGTTTCAGAGGGTGCCCCACCCTACCATCTTGATACTGCCTTCTGTAATTTTTTTTCTTTTTTGCTTTTTGGTGAGGCAGAGTTAAGTGACTTGCCCAGGGTCACACAGCTAGTGTCAAGTCTCTGAGGCTGGATTTGAACACAGGTCCTCCTAACTCCAAGGCAGGAGCGCTCTATCCACTGCACCACCTAGCTGCCCTGCCTTCTGTAATTTTTAAAGGAGCAAAGACAAAACCACAAAGGCTGTGGTAATAAATGGTGCCCAACTCCTTCATTCCAGTTCCTGCTGACCCATCCCACCTCTGCAGAATTTTCCCACCACCTCCAGTTTTAGAACCTGATATAATGGATGACTGATAGGATGGGGTCTTTTGGAGAAAAGAAACCTACTCGGCAGCCCATTGGATCAGATCCGTAGGCTGGGTCCGGATGGCAGCTTTGGTAAACTGCTTTAGCAATTCTGGAAGCTCCGGAGGGATACATATTTGCTTATCTGTCTGAGGCATGGTTACTTGACCTATTAGAGAGAAACAAACAAACAAACAATGGAAATATATTGAATTTATTTAAAAAATACATTTGGTATGGCTAAGAAGGTAATTGATACTTTTTGAAACACATTTTTTGGATTTTAGGGAGCAGTTGTCAATATAGACTCAGCTGGAAAGTCTCATTCATTTTAACCCATATTTGCCAAGTGACTACACCTGTACTAGGTTCTGGGGACAGAAAGAGAGAAAATAAATACAATATGTGATGAGATAAAAATGGCAATAGTGTGTGACAAGTTCAGGGATAAATTTCAACAAACTAAGAAAACTTACAATTAACATACAAATTTAGCACACAGATGATGTTTCCAACAATGCTCTACTGATTATTAGTTCTTTGTGGCAGCAACTTCAATTCCAGTCAACAAACAGTTTTCTTGTCTCTTCTCCTGTTGGCCGTATGTGTCTTGACTGGGAGCGGTGGTGGTATAGGTATCCTGGTTATTTTGCATAAACATTTAATTTCTTTCTATTCTGAGGTCTCATAGAACCTTGTGTGAATGATCAACCCCTTGTGAGAGTCTCCTATAACCCAGGCTTCTGAAGCATGTCCAAATAAGCTTGGAGCCACATTTCATAAAGTATTGAAAGAAAGCAAATGAACAAAGGATATAGTGTGAAGGCCTCAATAATAGAGATCCTCTCTTGCTTCCTTATTTTACATTTGCCTAAACTGAGGTTCCAAGTACTAAAGTGACTTCACTAAGGTCACTTAGCAAGTTAGTGGCAGAGCCAGTACCAGCACTCAGATCTCCTGATCCCTAGCTCAGTGCTTCCCCCCCCAACCTACAATCCTGATCCTCTTTGTGCTCCAATCTCATCTTTTCTACAGCTTAGAAGCTCCAAGATATTGGGGAGGTAATATAGTATTATGGAAAGAGCAGTAGATTAGTAATCAGAGGAGCTGGGTTAGAATCTGGGCTTTACTGGTGTGACTTCAGGGAAGGGACTTCACCTCTCTGGTTTCCTGTTTGCTTACCTGTAAAATGAGAGGACTGTACTTGATGACTATGAAGGTCTCTTGCAGTAATAAGCTGAAGATCACAGAGGCTAAATTTCAATGCTTTATTTATGTTTGGATGTACAAATCCAAACTTATTATCTCCACAAATGAATTTTCCATCTTAAATTTCTTAGTTCTGTCCATTGCAATTGCTCCTCAGTCAATAAGGCTAAAATTTTTACTTGGAAATCTTTTAAGTCTTCATTTTCCTTTAACTAAATCTGTCACAAAATCTTACATAGCCCTCCTTCCAAAATGATATCAGATTCCTCCCTTTCTTTGAATTCCCATTCATATCTCCTCTGTATAGGGTCCTTGGTCCTCACGACTTCAAATTGGATTTCTACTTAGCACACTTTCTGCTCCCTTCCCACTTCCTACCCCCCACCCCCACCGTTGATCTCTCTACCTCCCTGAACTTCATCATCCTGATTAACTATAGTCCCGATAGCCATCAGACTAATTCTCTTGAAACTGTTTCTATCATATCCTTGTGCTGTTCAATAACCGCTAATAACTGCTAGTGGTTCTTTTTTGCTATTACATTCAGGAAAGGTTAAATTAAAATATCAAGTCAAAACTCTTCTACCTAACTTTCAAGACCCTTCCTGATATGATCTATTCAAATTAATTTCTTATTACTAGGCAACATATACCTTCTGCCTATAAGGGGTCAGTCCACTGAGCATATTATATTCATTCCATTTTTCCCTCTTTCCTTGCTTTTGTTCATACTATTCCTCCTTCCAAGAATGCCTTTCCCATTCCTTTGCACCTATATAATTTCTATCTTTTCTTGAAGGAGCTACTGCCCTCATGAAACCTCCTCAGACAACTCATCACTGCCTTTTCTGACCTTCCATAACACCTGTTATCTGCACCACAGATTTTGGCCCTTAATTATTTTCCATCTTGTTCTGTTCACTAAGTTTCACATGAGGGCTTTGTCTCCCTGTGGTGAAACCACTTTATCACTTTTTAAAAAAGAAATCCACCCAAAAAAGCCTTGTTAAATTCTGTTTAAATGTTGTTTTTTAAAAGCTTGTTCTGGAAACTGGCCCTTTGAGAAAAGAGTTTCTGCTATAAACTGAAATTATGTAACTCCAAAGCATTCTGTATCAGAAAGGAGGCTGTAAAAATACTGGTTGCTAAGGGAATAATTAAATTCAAATTTCAGTTCGCATTAGACACAGAGAAAGTATTGATCAGAGGGGAGGAGGGAAGGCTTGAAGCAAGCTAGAAAAGCAGCTGAAAACTTATTTTGATTACAAAAAAAAGGAGCAACCATGGAGTTTCAAACATAATACATAGTGGCATCCTGGTGCTAAGTAATTTTCCTCTTTCTGGAGGAAACAAGAGCTGAGAGTTTGATAAGAAAAGAAGCCGAAGCCTGGCAGGAACTCTTGGAGAAGAGGGAGCCTTAGAAAAGGCAAACCAATGGCTGCCTTTTGATTAGTTCATATGCAGGCAGTTAAGTCTCACTTGATGGACTAGTTTTAGCTGCTGGCTTGCCCAAGAAATAACACTAACTCACATTTGTATTAGAGCACTTAACCATTTACAAAGGCTGAAAGGTCTCTGAAATCTGGTGAAGTTATAGAGCTATGCAGTTCCCTTGGAAGGGTTTTTTTCACTCTTAAAAATAAGAAAAATAAAGTGCTTAAGAAAGAATGTTTTTCAAGCAGAAAAAAAGGGGTTAGATTAACCTCTATTTGATAAATATTAATATGAAAGGTGCAAAATTATACTTATGTGTTAATTTTTTAAAATATTCCAATTACTTAAACTTTTTTTTCCTAAATAGCGTGAGGGTTCCTTTCTTTTTTCTTTCCTTCTTTATTTTTCTTCCTTCCTTCCTTTCTTTTTTTTTCTTTCTTTCAACACTATTGGCTTCCACGCTATTCTCTACAGTTGTGGCTGTTTACCACTGCCTGTTTTTGTCTTCTTCTCTTGTACTACAAAACTATTTAGAATTTCCCCTACTACATGTTTTGAGCTACTTCAAAGGGACCCATGCCAATTGCCTAGCAATCCTTTTATATTTTGTAAATTTAGAGGCAGCTAGGAGGCACAATGGATCAAGCACTGGCCTTGAAGTCAGGAAGACCTGAGTTCAAATCTGGCCTCCGACTGTGTGACCATGGGCAAGTCACTTAACCCCACTGCCTCCCAGATAGATAGATAGATAGATAGATAGATAGATAGATAGATAGATAGATAGATAGATAGATAGATGGTAGTTAATTTGTTAGTGGAATCTTCACAGGGAGTGCTCCTGACCATTTCTCAAGCATATAGATTCTATCCCTCTCGGTCTCATTCTCAGCTGATGGCCTCTCTTCCTTAATTCAGAAGGAGATATTGTCCCTTCTGTTTAAACATAATTTGTGCTATTGATCCTACTTCTTGCCAGCTCCTTCCTGGTCCATCTTGTTCTCCTGCAGAGTCCCTTCTACTCCTGCTTGCTCAATGCTCCACTTCCACCAGCTCTTTCCTTTGCAATCGAACTTCCCAACACCCTATTGAAACTGCTCTTCAAAAGTCGCCTATAAATGATTCTTTTCTTATTGCTGAATCAAATGGCCTTTGCTGAGCCCTATCTTCTCTTGACTTCTCTGATGCATTTGGTGTTAACCACGCTTCATGAAACTCTCTCTTGGCTTCCAGGACTCTAATTGATATCTTTTCCCTTTTTCTTCTCAAACTACTCCTTCTTGGTCCTCACTCCCTTTGTGTTTCCTCTTCCTCCTCCCCTGTAACCCTAAGCTTTCCTTAAGGCTCAGTACTTAACCTGATTTTTTTCCCCCTTGCATCCTCTCTCCCTCAGAGAGCTCATCCATTTTAATGTTTTCAACTATCAATTCTTTTAAAACTCCTCAAACCTTATATCCCATTATGTGTCCTCTTATATAAGCTCCATTCCTATGTCTCCACTTAGGTATCTCAAAATGACATTGACATCATCATCATTTTTGCCCTTCTGGTTTAGCTTCCTCACCCAAATTCCTTAACCCTGTCAGGAACACTATCATTTTTTATAATTTGGTTGTAAAAACCTTGGAATCATCTTTGACTTAACTCTGTCCTTCATCCCCCATATTCAGCCAGTCACAGAATCCTGTCAAGTTTTCCTTTGAAATAGCTCTATCAGCAGTCTGTTTCACTCTATTTCATATCTACTAATTGGTCTAGGCCCTTTTCATCTTCTTTCTGAATCACTGCAATAGTCTTTTAGCTGACATTTTCTTTTTATTTTTTTCTAATCAAAGGATTATACAATTCTAGGGTTGTAATGGCCTAAGAGAGCATCTAATCTAGTGCAATCCAATTAGAAGAGTTTAATCCAGCAGTACATATGAAAGCCATATATCAGATCTCTAAGCACCTCTACCTTAAATCCAAATCATTCTGACTCTCTTGGCCCAGGCCCAGGCCAAGCCCCACTTGGTCATTCTTTGGGTCCTGATTGGCTCAGAGTGAATGTAAATAGCAATTGTTTCTGTTTTGGCCTGAAACCCTGATTTATGTATTTATTTATTTTGACTAGGTATTCCCTGTCTCATTTCTTGTGGGCATTGCCTCAGTGAAATTGAGACCTGTTAAAGACCTTAGCCTTAAAAAGGCCAAGGTCTCCCACTGTATCCAGGGACATTTCCAGTCTTCCTGATCTATATCTTGCTACTGGACCCAGATGGCTTTGGAGGAGAAATTGAGGCTGTGACTTTGCACAGCGCTTCCTCACTTAAATCCAATTCACTTGCAAGTCATGACATCACCTCCCTGATGTCATGGTCCTCTTCTAGAATGAAGGACAAACAACCACCACCACCGCCACTACAGCAGCCCTGCCTCTCTGTGATGTGCTGAGTGGGGGGCATAGCCAACAGTAATCTTCTTCCACTACCCCACCAAATGCATATCCATTCGGAGACTTTGCTACTGTTTCCATTCCTGTCTTCTGTG